GCAGTGCTGAAGCTGTAACAATCCAAGTGGAAGGATTTGCCTCTGGTTCGGAAGCCTGCTTTGCTCCTCCTGCCGCAGAGCAATTTTCTGACACGGACTCCGTGCAGATGTTCCTTGAACTAGAAAGGCTTTGCATGAATGAGGAAGAGAAAGACGGGGAAGCTCCAACGGAATCTGAGGTGCAAAATGTTAAGTTTTCTTCAGAAGGGCTGGACCCGTGGGAGAATTTGGACTTGCCTTCTGAGACTGTGGCAGAACCTTCGCAACACTTGGTTCACCATGAAATCAGTGTGGCGGACTCAGCCATGGTGTCTGATCTAGAGGATTTTGATGCCACATTTGGTTCTCAAGTAGCAAGTGCAACAGAGCCGACACTGTCAGAATCTTTTTCTGAACAGGACACTTTTGGTGACTCAGAGAAAGGGATGCTTTCCAATCCTGCAGTTGCAAAAGATGTTGAATCCCAGTATGGTTGCCATCATTCATCTTCCGTTACTCTGGTGGAAGAGAATGGAGCAGAACTGCTAATGACTGATGAACTGGCAAAAAGTCATAAGGCCAAAGGCCAGTTGGACTTGGTATTGAGAGAACCTGTGGTTTCAGTTCATGTGCCTTGCTGCAGAGCACAACCCCCCTGCATTTGTGTAGCCGAGGAGGAAATGCCTCCTCTGTTCAGTAGGACAGAGAGGACATCCCTGAACCATGATGAATTTGTTACAGTTGCTGAAGACCTGGATTCTCAGCAAGAATTGGATTTGATCGAAGGGGTGGGGAGCCTTGAGGAACAGGAGCTGTTTGCTTCTTATGAGCTAAATCCTTCAGAAAAGATGATGGACTTTTCAAATTGGGATGTCCCTGAGTTGGGCTCTGAGGATGAAGTTGTAGAGCTAGACAAAGAGAACATTGTATTTGCAACCCACCCAGAGGAAACAGAAGGGATGGGGAATTTTTGGGCACCTTTACCAAGTGATTCTGAAGTGATACAGGGTTTTAAGGAGTCCAAAAGACACACAAGGTCTTCAGACAACCAGAAGTATATTGACAGTAGCAGTAGGTGCCAGCTTGAGCATTTGACATGGCCAGTAGACACTACAGAAATGGTAATAAGCACTACTTTTTTTCAAGAGGAGGAGCCAAAAATGGCTGAGCAGGTAACAGTCGGTACAGCAGTGGAGAGAGACTTTATGGAGCCTGGGATCCTGGAGTTGCTTTTTGGGCAGAGTGGGAGTAGTGAGGTAACAGAGGAAGGGGAAAGTGATGCCAAGTTTGTAGATGCAGACTCCCGCCCATCAGTTCCTGTGGATTGCTCATGGGATGCACAAGGTAGCGTTGAAGATTTTGCTTGCAGGCCTGAAGAGGAAGCTACTTCTTCGAGTCCTTTGCCTGGGGATGAGGATATTGATGTCCTTCCAGATCCCGTAGAGGAGCTTGCCAGCACCATAAAGGATCCCTGCATCACTAATGCAAAAGACATCACCTTGTCATCCTTGTCAGGTTCACTCACTTCAGTCCTAGATCTGGATCTATCTGTTGAAGATGCTACAAGTTTAATTGGTGATGGAAATGACTCCGAAACAGCCTTGTGGGTGTGCAACATCCAGGAGCTGATACCAATATTACAAACTGCAGAAGAGATCTCCTCTCTCCCGATGCAACTCTGCCCCTTTCAGTGTCCAGGCAAAGAGGGGCTGCCTATTCAGGAAGAGTGGACCATGATACCCAGTTCCTCAGAGGAATCTATTCAGGTGATCCAAGGGATGGATGAGAGTATTTTGCCACTTAATTTAAGTCTGGAAGCTGCAGAGCATCCTTTGCAGTGGGAAAGTAGCCTTCTAATCCTGGCGTTTGAAGCTTCAAGGGATGGACCATCCAGCCCAGCTCAGTTGCCTGCCTCTGAAGCTGAAGAGAGGGAGACCTATGCTAGGTCAGGCAGGGAGGCGCTTTCTTTCTTCTCCACTGCTGCTGGAACCAGTGAATTGGTTCCAGATAATGAGGTATTTGTTTCCTAGTTACTCGTACTATCTAATATTAAATCACTTTATTTGGAGTTGAGGAGGAGTTAATCCATAGTTAATTGACTGACTGATAACATTTATGATGGACAAAAGAATGTATTTAACTCCTCTATCCTATTACAGTATAGCTGAAGATCTTTGGAATGGCAGTTGAGTTCTGTAGTCATACTGAATGGCCTTCGCAGTTGAGTGGCTTGAGGTTTCCATAAAATACTTGGAGCGAACCGTGCATTTTCTGCAGAACACTTGTGAGGGAGCATGCATAACTGCAGAGGTAGTAACTGAAAGAACGGGTTGCTAAGAGCAAAATGATGTAAGGCAAATTAAGCTTTGGCTCAGAAGTCTACTTTAAATAACAAAGGCACCCCCCCCACACCACTCATGGAAAAGAAGAGAAGTAAATGGAAATGTTTCCTTAAATCTTTTAAAATCTCCCTCTCTGTATCATAACAACTGGGGACAGGAATGACTTTTATGTAAAGTCTATTTGTATCAATATTTCTTCTACAAAACAGCTTCTTTTCCTGTGGATACTGACTTTGATTGTTACCAACCAAACTAAGCTAGTTTTGTAACCATTGTGTTGGTTTTTTTCTTATATTGAAGCTGACTTGGATGCAGTTTCACACACTTCAAATGGTTGTGGATTTCCAAAAACAAAAAAGTAAAAGCAGCCAGAAGTTTGAGAAACTATTTTGAAATCTAAATGAGGAGAATGGTCTCCCCAACTCTGGGCTGAGATGGACTGAGTTTGTGTCTGCTACAGCATCCTGCAGCCACAGTGTTCAATTCCAGCCTGCAGTTAGGAAACAGGAGGAGCTGCAGGCCAGACCAGAGAATGTGAATTATTAGCCAGATTCTTTCCCCTTCCCTTGTTCAAAGGGGAAAGAAGGAGAGGGTAATTGGGCACAAAAAAAAACTTTGTCTCCCAGTGTTCCAAATTGGGAGGTATCTTTGCACAAGAGGCAGACAATTTGGAAGCTTGTGAAAAATGTTCCCTGTTGACGTGGCTGATCTGGTGTTTCTGCCAAGAGGGACAAGAAGCCCCCAGTCAGAGGAGGAAGCAGTATGGAGGGGAGCAGATTTAATTCAAGGTCATTATATGTTTCCCTTGTTCCCCTCTCCTTTTATTTCCAGCCTTTGAAAGCAAGGGAGCTTTTTTGTGGTTGCCACAGTCATCTCAGTTATACTCAGAGATAATAATTTGCCTGATTCCAACTCACCTGAATAAGATTTGAATTTGGGTCCTGCACATGAAAATGAAGCAAGATGATCAGACTCTGCACTGCTTCAACATCCCCTGCCAAGTCTGAGGTCTGTGTCGACACATGGCCTCCTGTGGAAAGATACCTTGACCCGTCCATTACCCACCCTCCCATTACTCACACTGTTTAGTTCTCAGCCTCTGCCTTCTTCTGTTTGTCTGTATCAAAGACAAGATTGAAACTGCGTTTCAGGCTGAAGGTGGTGATCCAACGCTCTGGAATTTTCTGTGCATTCTCTATTTGAAGCACCAAGCTGTGCTTCCAAGTATTTTTTGTTGGGGCGGTTGTTAAATTTGATTTGCTTGTTTAAACTTCCCCGCTGAACCTGCCTGCTTTGCAGATGTTGCCATCCATATCCAGCAGCTGTTCCTGGTTTCAACTGGGGGTTGGGCTGGGTGTGATGTGTGTGTTCTGCTTGCCCCAAGTGAAAAGCTTCAAAGTCCTTTCTTGTTTAAAAATAAGTTTGCATTTCAGATTATCCCAGAGGATGTAGGAAGGACTGGTGCATTTGGCTTACCAGTCTGGGGCTCTTGCAGGCAACTAATTAATGTAATATTAGACATTCTATAGCAGTGGTTCTCAACCTGTGGGTCGGGACCCCATTTGGGGTCGAACGACCATTTCATAGGGGTCGCCAAACCACGCTGTCCACCATTTTTTTCCCTTTTTCCTAGCTGTCCTACTCCCTCTTATTGGTGGCCACACCTACTTGGGGGTCACCACAACATGGGGAACTGTATTATGGGGTCACGGCATTAGAAAGGTTGAGAACCACTGTTCTATAGTAAGCTTTTTGCATAGAAGAGGCTGGGAAGCTGTCTGCTCTTGCATTGTCATCAACTCTGCTAGCTGCAGGATAGCTCATGGCTCTGGACAGCATCTTCATTTAATATCTTGGCATGTTCCCATTTCTGGAGACAAATTGCTGATTGTGATAAGCCAGGGCTAATTCCTTTTCTTCTCCATGGAGAGCCCTGGAAGCGTCCAGTTGCTCACTAGGTCTGCAGCAAAACTTGGTCCTTTACATGGACCACTTGGATATCATATTGTTTCAAAGCAGCTGCTAAGCATTTAGCTGACTGGAAGGCTTAAACTCCTCCTCATTCTGATTCTTTATTTGCTTAGGGCTATTTGGGAGCAGAGAAATCTCTGTTCTGCCTCTGAGCAACAACCCTGCTTTTGATCAGAAGCAGGACTGCAACTCAGCAATAGGCCTTTGGTCACAGAACATCCTGGCTTCAGCCCCCAATAGAGTGTTAAATTGTGTCTGAATCCCAGAGGAGACCTCCAGTCCTTGTTGGCCTTGAAAGACCAGAGAGACCACTGGCCTTGGGGTGTTTCAGACAATCTTGCGAGATTTCACCCTCTTTCTCCAGGCCAGTGTTTCTCAACTAAGCAACTTCCAGAATTCCCCAGTCAGCCATTTTGGCTGGAAAATTCTGGGAGTTAGTCAATCAATCAATCAGAATAGAGCTGGAACGGATTGTGGAGGTCTTCTAGTCCAACCCACTGCTCAAGCAGGAGACTCTACACGATTTCAGACAAATGGCTGTCCAGTCTCTTCTTAAAAACCTCCAGTGATGAAGCACCCACAGGCTGATTAAGGATGAAATTAGCAGCCAGAGAAAGTGCACCTTAGCCCGAGTCCTTAATCGTGTACAGTTTTTGCAAAGATTTATCATGGGATTCATTTGCCTTCTTCCCTCTCCCATCTTCTCAGCAATTCCAGAAGGAGCAAGTTGACCCTCTTCAGTTAAAGCTGCAGCAAGTCAACAGGCTTGGACAAGGGCTGGTCCAGAGTGCGGGGAAGAACTGTGATGTCCAGGGCTTGGAGCATGATATGGAGGAGATCCACACCCGGTGGAACACCCTCAACAAAAAGGTAAGTGTTGCCTGGGCCCTTTCTCGCATGACCGGGATGGGACCCTGAGGCTCAGACTCACCTCCAGATGCTACGGGCTCCCTGATGGAAAAGGGGCTGGGCTCCGTTGGGAAACAGCCTGCGGATGGTCCGCGGGGATGGGACAGAGCTGCTTGCCGAGCAGCACCTACCAAGGGTCCTCGTCTGCAAAGTCTCTGGCTCTCTCTGGGCCATGATCTTTTGGTGCTCGAGGTGTCCATCTGCAGACAGAGGAGGCCCTCTGGGTTGGGAGCGCCTGGCTATAAATGCCAATAAATCCTTAGTAACAGCTGAGAACTGAGCCCACATGTCTCTGCTGAGAATCCACTGAGAAACCCACCACCAATTGTAGGTTTTTTTTCCTCTTGCTTCATTTTTACTTTATTTTTATTGTACTTGTTTGCAATTCTAGTCAGTGACCATAATAAACGTATCCATTCATTTCTCTGCTTGGCTGCATCCCTGCTCTGGCCACTGGTCCTACTGGAAATCAGGGGACTAGCAAATATCTCTCCCCCACCCTCCAACAGACTCCGGGGGAGCAATTCTCCTGTTTTACAAGGGGAACGTGAGGATGAAGCTAGTTTAAAGAGCTGCTTTTGGCTGAAAGAGGCTCTGTCTAGCAAGGGCAGCCACTCCAGTGATGGGCGTGCATGTTTTGTCAAAACGCAGGTGGCCCAGAGGATTGCCCAACTGCAGGAAGCCTTGCTCCACTGTGGGAAGTTCCAGGATGCCCTGGAGCCTTTGCTCAGCTGGCTGGCTGACACTGAGGAGCTCATCTCCAACCAGAAGCCACCATCGACAGAATACAAAGTGGTGAAGGCTCAGATCCAGGAGCAGAAGGTGAGCAGAAATGGGGGGGGGAACGGGCTGGCCCTGCCGGCCCTAAGCACCATTGGTCAGCCCACTAGCCCCAGTGAGCAAGGATCCTCCTCATGCTCCCTGCTTGCTATGCGTTCCTCTTCCCTGTGCTGAAGGAGTGGGAGGAGGGAGGGACGGAAGAAGAGCAGGTGAGAGATGCCAACTTTGCACGTCTCAAAGCTTTGCATATCAAAGCTGCAAGTCAGGCAGTGGACAGACCCTCAGCATGGGAGGCCGCCAGGTGAAGGACAAACACAACACAACTTCCACTAGGAGCAGTGATTTTGGGGCATGCAAAAGATAGCTTTGTGGGGGTGAGAATGGAGACTTCAGAACAGATGGGCAGCAGCTGGGGAGCAGATCTGAAGCAATGCAACTACTGATATAGTGGTAGGAGGGGGATGTGAGTTTAGTCATTGGCATTCCACATTTCCTGTAGCTGGGAGATTTGGCAAAAGGTGAAATCCTGCAAAAAAAATGGGTGTAGTATAATATTTATTTGATCAGTAACAAGCAGAATTTAAAAATATACAATATGTAAATAAAGTGGATGAGATAAAATACCAACATAGCAAGGAGCCCCTATAATAAAAGTATAACATAAGCTACTGTGATGATAAGTTCATTAGTTGTGCAGATGGAAGAAATTGGTAAATGCTCCTTCTCTTGACCTTCTGCAAAGTTGCTGCAACGTCTCCTGGACGATCGGAAAGCTACTGTTGAGATGATCCAAGCAGAGGGTGGCAGAATTGCCCGGTCAGCTGAGCCAGCAGACAGGGAGAAAATCACCGGCCAGTTGAACAGCCTCGGAAGCCACTGGGCCAGCCTCCTCAGCAAAGCTTCAGCCAGGTAAGCCAAGATTGGAAACGCGGGACACCGTCAGTTGCTCCTTGTTCTACCGTCATCCTATGCAGCACGCACGGATTTTATTTTTCTCCTGCGGTCTCTGCTATTTTGTTAGTGCAAGACCTCTGCACAACTCTAGGTGAATTTGCAAGGATGCTTTTAATTCTGATGTTCAGCAAAATCTCCTTGGATTTCTTGGTCACACTTCTTCCCCCCCTGTGAAATGTTGCAGCTGAGTATAGCAAGTGAGATCGAAACCTGCTTTTTTATAACAGTTATTCTAGTTTACTTCGATGAGACCGTGAGAAGAACCCCTCAGTGGATCTTGACCTGCGGGGACATCTTTCATGCCACTCAGAATTTGCCATCTTGCTTTGCGTCTATTTTGCTTGGCATTGAGGGCAAAAGCTTTGCCCTGAATAGTACGTTATATCAAACATAAACAAAACACTTCCTTGCTTGTTATGTGAAACCAGGTCAGGGAGATTCACCTAGAAAGAAAAGGTTGAAGGATGCCCATTCCTTTTAGAGAACCCCCACCTTTCTTTTCTCCCTTCCCAGAAAGGGAGATGAAAAGCTCCCACTGCAGCTCGGGTGTGTAGAATCCAGAGGACTTACCCCCTCCAAGGACTCCAGAGATCCACTCTGTGCAATATCTGCAGAAAGGGACCTTCCACAGAGCCTGCCAACTGTGTCCCCTGCTAGCATTTCCTACCAAGGTTTAAGCCATATGCAGTATAAGGAGTTAGGTGTGTCTTTCTGTTTAGTTCACCCAACAGGCTTGACTTGACTTTTGCATAATGTTTCTGTGCTACTGTCACAAGCAAACAGCCTGACATCAGACACGTTAGTTACTAAAACAACAGACAGGTGTAGATTGTTGCTTCCAACTGAAAAGGACAATCTCTTTGCTTGATGTTGTGTGGAGGTGCAAGAAACAGCACCTTGATTTTGCTATGAATAGGCCTGGCATTTCTTAGCAGCCGCTGGCTTCTTTAGCTTTTCTACAATAATCCAGTTCATTCTTGGAAATATATTTTTGCATTTTCTTGCTTAGCCACCCAACCAAGGGGCCTGATAGTACTGACCTATAAAATGATCACACGAGGGTGGGTATGACATAGTTGGCATTTTCAACATACTAACAAGAAAAAAGCCAAGAAAACTGTAGGTCCACTAAAGAAGAAGATAGCAAGGAAGTAACAAGCAATAGGGAGAAAGCAGAGCTGCTTAACTCATTCTTTGCATCAGTCTTCACACAAAAAGAAATTAAAGCACAACATACCCCCCCCAAAATACTGCAAAAGACAAAAATTAAAATAAACAAGAAAATGGTAATAGAGCACCTATCTGACCTTGACAAATATAAATCACCGGGACCGACAGATTACATCCCGGAGTTCTGAAGGAGCTGGCAGATGTTATCTCAGAACCATTGCACCATATCTTTCAAAAAGCTGTAATGGGGCATAACGGAATATGTGGAGCAGCTGTAATTGTTCACAGCTCTCAGTGAGCCTCACCAGGAATCTTCCATTGTTTCACAGAGGTTGATTTCTGCATGGTTTTGCTTCCTTTTCGCAGGCAAAGTCAGCTGGAGGAGGTCCTGGTTTTGGCCAAACAGTTCCATGAGACATCAGAGCCCATCTCTGAGTGGTTGTCGGCGACTGACAAGAAACTGGCCAATTCTGAGCCCCTTGGGACTCAGACTGCCAAAATCCAGCAGCAGATTGTGCGGCACAAGGTGGGCAAGTGGTTGCCAAGCAGTTTGGAAAGGGGTGGAAGGGCAGCAGGCACAGGTTCTGTTGCTGCGAAGGTTCCAGGGCAGCTTTTCTTCAAGCGTGTTCTGTAGAATCCTGACGTTCTGTGGGCATTCATAGAAATATTGCCTGTAGGCCTGTCCTGCCATCATGTAATCTGAGCAAGATTTCACTGGAGTGATTTGATCCATCTCTCTCAACTGTGGCTGGGGCTTCCCAGAGAAGTCACAGCATCTTCATTTAATCCATGTCACCTTTTCCACAGTGCCACCAAATGGTAGTGGCTCCCATTTGGTCAACAGATGCATGGTCGGGAGGGGTCACTGAAGAGTGCCACCAAAGCCCTCAGGAGAATCATGGGGATGGGGGGCAATACAGTAATTCCCCTAGGTAGCTGTTTCATTTTCCAGGCATGTGTGTCCCATTCACAGTGCCCATCAGCCCTTGCATATCTGGGCCAGTCCCTCTGGGCAGTGACAAGCCCAGCACATCTGTATCCAAGTGGCAAGATCTGTGCTTGGGCCAGCACTTTGCCTGGGCTGGCTTCTTGACAAAGGTCATGGAGTGTTGGATTTGCTGGACCTGTTGCTCTGGGTGGTGGTGTTCCTTTTGGCTTCAGCTTGAAGGAAAACCTCAGGTGCCCACCACACTCCCTTGTCCAGGTATGTTGTCCTCTGGCCACAGCCTCAGGAGCTCCACTTTTTTTCTTCTTTCCTAAGGAACAGTTATAAATGTTTCCATACAGTGAGGGAAATAATTATTTGATCCCCTGCTGATTTTGTACGTTTGCCCACTGACAAAGAAATGATCAGTCTATAATTTTAATGGTAGGTTTATTTTAACAATGAGAGAGAGAGTAACAACAAAAAAATCCAGAAAAACGCATTTCAAAAAAGTTATGCATTGATTTACATTTTAATGAGTGAAATAAGTATTTGATCCCCTATCAATAAGCAAGATTTTTGCCTCCCAGGTGTCTTTTATACAGGTAACAAACTAAGATTAGGAGCACTCTCTTAAAGGGAGTGTCCAAATCAATCAGATTCCAAACTCTCCACCATGGTCAAGACCAAAGAGCTGTCTAAGGATGTCAGGGACAAAATTGTAGACCCACACAAGGCTGGAATGGGCTACAAGACTATCGTCAAGCAGCTTGGTGAGAAGGTGACAACAGTTGTGCGATTATACGCAAATGAAAGAAACACAAAATAACTGTCAATCTCCCTCGGTCTGGGGCTCCATGCAAGGTCTCACCTCGTGGAGTTTCAGTGATCATGAGAATGGTGAGGAATCAGCCCAGAACTACATGGGAGGATCTTGTCAAGATCTCAAGGCACCTGGGACCATAGTCATCAAGAAAACAATTGGTAACACACTACGCCGTGAAGGACTGAAATCCCGCATGCCTGCAAGGTCCCCTTGTTCAAGAAAGCACGTGTACAGGCCCGTCTGAAATTTGCCAATGAATATCTGAATGATTCAGAGGAGAACTGAGTGAAAGTGTTGTTGTCTGATGAGACCAAAATCAAGCTCTTTGGCATCAACTCAACTCACCGTGTTTGGAGGAGGAGGAATGCTGCATATGACCCCAAGAACACCATCCCCACCGTCAAACATGGAGGTGGAAACATTATGCTTTGGGGGTGTTTTTCTGCTAAGAGGACAGGACAACTTCACTGCATCAAAGGGAGGATGGACGTGGCCTTGTACCATCAAAATGTGGATGAGAACCTCCTTCCCTCAGCCAGGGCATTGAAAATGGGTCGTGGTTGGGTATTCCAGCATGGCAATGACCCAAACACACGGCCAAGGCAACAAAAGAGTGGCTCAGGAAGAAGCACATTAAGGTCCTGGGGCGGCCTAGCCAGTCTCCAGATCTTAGCCCCATAGAAAATCTGTGGAGGCTGCCAAACATCAGCCTCAAAATCTTAATGATTTAGAGAGGATCTGCAAAGAATGAGAGAAAACCCTCCCGAGATGTGTGCAAAGCTGGTGGCCAACTACAAGAAACGTCTCTGTGATTGCCAGCAAGGGTTTTGCCACCAAGTACTAAGACATGTTTTGCGAAGGGGTCAAATACTTATTTCACTCATTAAAATGCAAATCAATTTATAACTTTTTTGAACTGCATTTTTGTGGATGTTTTTGTTGTTATTCTGTCTCTCATTGTTAAAATAAACAATTATAGGGTGATCATTTCTTTGTCAATGGACAAACGTACAAAATCAGCAGGGGATCAAGTAATTTTTCCCCTCACTGTAGAAACGTGCCTATTGTCTAGTATGGAAATGTTGAGGAACTCAGGGAGCATCATGATTCTTAGCATCCTGTAAATGGCCATGTGACTATCAAACAGATCTCAGAGCGTCATTGGGGAAGACTGGCAGATGCCCAGAATGGAAATTTGCAGAGGAGTCTGACATATGCATCCAGTGGAAGGGAGTGTTAGAAGTCAGCCTGATCCAGGCATAATGCGAAGCCATAACATGATTGATTCAGTGAATGATTGATTGAGTAACCAGGTTAGCACGGCCTCACCCATTATTTCTTAGCATTAAATACACGCTGAGCTGCGGTAGCTTAGTCAAACCATGGTTTAGAATGCTGAATTACTACCATTTGCAAAACAAGCTAGTAATCATGTTTGAGCAGTTAAAAAAGTTGCAGTATATTCTGTCTCAATATTTATATAGATACAGGAAAAATAAAATTCATCTTTTTTTTGTTTTTGTTATAGTTGTTTATTTGAAACTGTTAATTTAGTAAATGGTATTTTTGCATTTACACAATTTTCAGTCATATTCACCGTTCAGTTGTGTTTTAATTTTCCCCCTTTGTGTATTCCATTTTCAACCATATATTTCTGTTTGCTTGTTTTTTCCCTCTTTTGTTCTTTCCCTTAAACCTCCTGGATTTCCAGGCACTAGAGGAGGAGATAGACAATCAGGCCACGGCGGTGACTCAGGTGGTCAGCATTGGCCACTCCCTGGCCTTGCTAAGCTGCCGTGCTGAGCAGGCCTCCCTGGCCGAGAAGCTCGACCTGCTTGAGTCCCGCTACGCTGAGGTTTCTGACCGATGCAGCCGGAAGGCTGCCCTCCTCGATCAGGCTTTGTCCAATGCCCGGCTCTTTGGGGAGGACGAAGTGGAGGTGCTCAACTGGTTGGCTGAGGCTGAGGACAAGCTCAGCTTGGTGTCCATCAAGGATTACAAACGAGAGGTCCTGCAGCAGCAACATTCTGGGCAGCTGGTATTGATTCATTTTTCCCATCTTTCATTATCATGTTTATTTCGCTTCCCTGTTCCTGCTGATTTGAACCATTTCATTTTGATCTTCACCAAATCCAAGCCTAAGGATGGAAGGCGAGAGTCCCTCCCGGGACAGCATTCTTGCAAAGGAGGGGCGCTGCTCAGTGGGTCAGCCAGTGTGTTGCGTGGACGGTTGGGTTCTGGCCTCTCCATTTAAAGAAAAACGATGCAGCGGTGGGAGGGAAATATTATTTTTCTCCCTGTGGAGAACCTCTAAGCTGATCCTTCTCATGCGCCTTCATCTCCCCGCCCAGCCTCTTGCTGAAGAACAGTTTTAGACCTATGGCAACTCTCATCCTTTGCAGCCATTCGTTTCTGCAGGGAAGTGAAAGGGGGGGGGTTGACATCTGGCCCTGATGACCGTTGCCTTGAGGGAGGACCAGAAAAGAAGCTGGAAGATAATGGCGGTCCCTGGGGAACCACCTTCTGTACATTACAGGGGTAAGGTGTACTGTGAGGATAGGTGCCCCCTACTGAATTCAGGTGGATTTGTTACCTAGAACAGCAATAAGCCACAGAGTGGTTCTGTTAGCAGGCTGGATAGCGGAAGGATCCAACAGGCTTTCCTTCTGAAGCTCTGGCCTTCATTGGGGGCAGGAGGGGTCCAGGTGTTCCCTTCTGCCCTACGTAAGCCTTCAGTCTTGAGCTGTTCTCTGAAGACCCCCCTGTTTGGCATAGGCAGCGGGCATCTTTCTTTGTTGCCCCGCACATGCACGGTAGACACTAGTCTCTTGGGCAGACTTCATCTGTGTGCTGATTCAGTTTGCTTGCTCTGGTGGGAGTTGTCTGGCTTTATGTATTAAAGGAACAGTCTGTAAAGATAACAGAGCAAACCCCCAAATCACATGCTTTGGTCTTTCACAAAGCCCTCAGGTCTTTTCCAGGGAAGTTTCTGAGTCTGGGCTTTTTTCCCTCCCCCACGTAGGCTTTGAATGATGAGATTGTGAACCGCAAGAAGCATGTTGACCAGGCCATCAAGAACGGGCAGGCCCTCCTGAAACAAACTACAGGTAGGAGAGGAAAAGATGCCAGGCAATGGCTGTCCCTGCCTTGCCTGCGCCAGTCCACACCTGCACCCAGTTCTTCTGCCCAGAGATTCCACAACTGGGACTGTGCAGAACACATGTGCCCACAGAGAAATATGCAAAATACAGAAACCAAGTCCAGAATTTTGTATTGGTGGGATGGTCAATGAGTCAGGCTTTGTATGGCCAGCTTGAGGGCACCCTACTATACCCTGGATCCACATTAGATGACTTCTTCAAGCCAAACACTTGGTGATCTTCTGCAGGGGAAGAAGTGCTACTTATCCAAGAGAAATTGGATGGCATCAAGACCCGCTACTCGGATATCACCGCTGCCAGCTCAAAGGCTCTCCGTACGCTGGAGCAGGCACGGCAGCTGGCCACCAAGTTCCAGTCAACACACGAAGAGCTGACGGGCTGGATGGGTCAGGTGGAAGAAGAGCTGATGTCTGGGGGAGGACATTCCCCCACCGGCGAGCAGATCCCTCAATTCCAGCAAAGGCAGAAGGTAAGGGGCTTTCCAGGGAAGCCAGGTTGCAGGCCTGATCAGAGGTGACCCTCCTCTTCCTGCCACAAATAGTATACAGGGATTTTCCTCCTGACCGTAAGAAGTTGGCAGCTTCCCTCGTTCTCAGCAGGAAGAGTGGTCACCACAGTGCCTCTCCCCTTCCAAAGGCAGAAAGCAGAGCTCTCTCCTGAGGCAGCATTTGGTTATTTGCCTGGCCCAGCTTGATGGCACAGTCACAGAAAGTGGCCTTTTCCTCCCCCCCCCCCAGGAACTAAAGAATGAGGTGATGGAACATCAGATTATCCTGGACACAGTGAATGAAGTCAGCCATGCCCTCCTTGAACTGGTTCCTTGGAGAGCGCGTGAAGGACTCGATAAGCTGGTCTCGGACACCAACGAGCGGTATAAAGCAACCAGTGACACCATCAACCAGCGGGTGGCAGAGATAGATGCTGCCATCCAAAGGTCTCAGCAGGTAGGCTGGCAGTTCCTTGTATACCATTGGCAATGCAGACGTGGCTCTCTGGGGTGATGTGCCCAAGCATGAAATTTGTGCAGGTTGTTTTTCCCCATCACTTAAGCAGCCCTTAGAAATCCTGCATTCGGGGAGGTTTTTGTGGGTTGAGGGATAAAATGCATGGAGCAAAATAGTTGGAGCATTTGGGCCTCACACATTCTGGGGACAGTAGAGGAACTGCTGGAGAGAGGCAAATAGCTTCCAGTCTCCCAAAATAAAAGTTGGGTTTCTTGTAGACACACCATTCTGCAATTATGTGACTGCTCCCCACCCCTTGCTTTTTCCATTTTGCCCCAGGTCCTTTCCTTCCATGCAGCACCAGGCTGGAATTCACTTGCTCTTCTGCAGCACTGCCTTTACTACCTCCCTGTGCTCCAGATGTCAGGCCCAGAATATTTGAGAGGCCCCAAATGGGGAAGGTGTATGCAGAGAGAGAGGTACCCCCCCTGTACCTGTCAGCAGTTCCTTAAAAACTCCATGCCCTTTCCTGAGCTTGCAAGGAGCCAGGCAGCTCCAGGAATGCATGCTGGTATTCAGGAGACATTAAGGAGGCGGTGAAGGGCCCGTGGCCATTGCTGCCCCCTGAACTCAAAGAGGCATTTTCCTGAGCCCTGGGGGGCGTCTGGAAGGCCAAGAGAGGCATTACTCCTTTAAGGAGCTGCTGGCAGGTACCAGGAGGGTGCAGCGCTCAATCTGAAGCACAGTTTAGATCTTGTGCACTTTGTTGATGCTGCCCAATTGCCACCTTTTGCCAGCTAGTTTCCCCAGCTAACTTGGCTGTGCTTCCTTCTCTGACAGTACGAGCAGGCAGCCGATGCGGAACTAGCCTGGGTTGCTGAGACCAGGCGGAAGCTGTTGGCACTCGGTCCAATTAGACTGGAGCAGGACCAAACCACTGCCCAGCTACAGGTGCAGAAGGTACGCAACAGGGCAAAGATGGCAAAGATCTTGGAATAGCCAGATTGGAAGATGGAGCAGAGTTAGGCTGGCTGGGGAGAGCAAAGGGACGGGGGTGACTGGAGGAGATAGTCTGGATGAAGGAAAAGGGACAGCAGAGGTGGGTATTTCCCAGACGTCAAAGAAGAATTGTTGGGAGTTACAACCCTTGAGAGGTTGGGCCTCATTGTATGGAAAATACAATATATAAGGGAGACCAGTCATTGCTTGTGTTTTACAGTTCAGATCTGTTAGCGTTGTTTTCTTTCATGTAGGCTTTTTCCATCGACATCATTCGTCACAAAGATTCTGTGGATGAACTGCTCAACCAACGAACCGAGATTTTGGGAACTTGTGGAGAGGAGCAGAAAGTCATGCTGCAGGTAGACCTTGGGGCCTAGGAAACATTAAGGAAGGTTGGAGTCTAAGATAGTGTGGAAGCCCACTCTTTGGAGGATGAAGGCCCATTGGCCGGCCCCAAACTCTGCCCTTGTTCCACAGGAGAAGACCGAGTCTCGTCTGAAGCAGTACGATGAGACCAGCCACCTCCATTCGGAGCGCTATGCTCGCCTGGAACGGGCCCAGGTCCTGGTCAGCCAATTCTGGGAGACCTACGAAGAGCTGAGTCCTTGGCTTGAGGAGACCCAAGCGCTGATTGGGCAGCTGCCCCCTCCAGCAATTGACCATGAGCACCTCAAGCAGCAGCAAGAAGATATGAGGGTAACTGGGCCTAAGGGGGTGTCCGGGCACGTGCCTGCCGTTGGGAAATGCTGAGCTGAGTCTGCACGGCTTGAAAATGGAGCCCTGGTTACCTTGGTTTTAGTGGGACTGTGAAGCAACCCCCCTCCTGAGCAGGGAAAGCAGCTGCTGCTCCCTGTCTTTCAGCTGTTCTGCTGGGGGGAAAGCGACACCAGTATTTGCCCAAAAAGGCGGGTGGCAAGTCAACTGATATACGGAGGGCAATTGAAAGCAATCACCTGGAGAAGCAGGATGTTACCTGGGCAAATGGTGCCAGCTGGGTGGGAGAGAGGGGAGGGAAGCTTCCCTGGCTGATCTTAGGCTTGTTAAGAAGACAGATTTGTTCCTCATTGGGCCTGCTATAGGGTAGCAGCCTGGGGTTTCAGATCAGCTGGACATTGTGATGAACTTCAGCGTGGTCTGCCCTGATGTTAATACACTGCCTGAGCCAAACCCTGGCAGATTCAGCCAACTGAAGCTAAAACAAAACATGACTCGCACGGTACACAAATATAGATGTTGTGCTTAAAGATAGAATGGACTTCCAATTTTCTTGCTGAACTTGGTGTTCACAATAAACCACTGTGCTGGTTTGCTCAGTCATTCTTGACTGAGGTTGCTACAGTTTTTGAAACTCAAAGAAAATAATTTATATATATAGCAATGCTTTATTTCCAGAGCCAGGAGATATTTTAGGCTTTAAGTGCTGCTACCTGTTTTCTCTCATGCTCTTGGGGTCATTGCATCCCAAGCTTTGATTTTTCTATACTTGATATTTTTTTCTTTGTAGCAACTGAGGGAATCGATTGCTGAACACAAGCCCCACATTGACAAGCTGCTGAAAATTGGCCCTCAGCTGACGGAGCTGAACCCTGAGGAAGGGGCGATGGTGCAGGGGAAGTACCTTGCCGCAGAGGCCGCCTACTCCCGCATCAAGGAGGAGGTCCGCCAGCGGGCTCTGGCCCTCGATGAGGCCATCTCCCAGTCAACCCAGGTTTGGGAACAGGCCACTGGCTTTGGAGAGGGGCAGGATCTGACGGTAGGGGGAACGTGGGAGCTGCAGAAGGGGGCAGCCCACAATAGGGCTACACTGGCTGAAGATGCGGGGGGGGGGGCTGGCTCTTGGCCTTGGGTGGAGGGGCCAGGGGGCAGCCCCTCCCCGACCTTCTGCCAGAGTGGGTGCCTAGGGCTGGGGGGACCATTTTGTCACCCTCTACTGGGTAGCTCTTGCAGCCAAAGTGCCACAAGTGACCTCCATGCTTTGGAAGGCAAATGGGCAGAAAGGGAGGCCTCAGGCGGGGGGGGGGGGAGCAGCAAGCAGTCTGGTCCCAGTAGGAATCTCCCTGCCCCAGAAGGGCCTCTGGGCTTGGGGAGGAAGTTCCGGCTTCCTCCCTCGGAGCAGCTGGGTGTGGAAGAGCATTTGGCCCCCAAGGCCTTCCTGTGGACTACAAAGACCCTTCCCGCAGAACACAGAATTATAGGGCTGGAAGAGAACTTTCTCAGAGGTTTTGATGGAGGCAATTGGAAGTTTGCCAAAAAAATTCTATTCTGAATAGAAACAGAGATTTAGGGAGGTTTTTTGGTGTAGATATTTCTTATCAGATTTATTTGGTTTTGGTTTTGGCACAGCAGTGTTTTGGATATATGCAAGGAATCACATTTGTTGTTCCCTCGTGTCAACTTGTCTTGTGAGTTGATAATGCTGTTTGTTGGATTTTGTTCTGTGTCACATCTTTGAAAGTAGTTCTAGGACATATTTGTATATTATTTTAGTCATTTCTGCTCCTTTTAGTTTACCCTCACATTAATGCTGAGTTTTTCCTCCTCCATCCCATCTCATCACCCTCCCACTGTGGAATGTCTCCCCTCTTGTCTGTTTCGGTGCCCATTTACCGTCTTCCCTGCGTGCTCATCACCATTCATTGTTGTGTTGACTCCACCATGCAGATTGCAGAGGTAAGAATCCCCTCATCACGTGACAAACCTCCTGCCCTCTGGATTAGCCCCCCACCCAAAAGGAAATATTGGAAGGTGTTCCTGTTTTCCTCCTGAACGTCGTTTAGAATTCTATCCTGCCCACTTGAGGGTAGCCGAAATCCTCTCGCATCCAGGAATAGCGAACCTTCCGGGATGAATGTTGGGCTAGCGGTTTGCCTCACTAGGAGGCTCCTCTTCTGATGCTGCCCTGTCTTTGTGACCTCCCCCCCCAAGGAGAAAATGAGGAGGAGTCCCGGAGAAACTAAAAGTGGCCGGAGACAAAATGCTTGCACATCCCACTAGCGCTTCAGCTGAACTCAAGGCCAGGCTGCTTCCTTTCTCTGCCTTGAGGCCTCCCCTACTGAGAGCTCCCTAGAGAAGCCAGAGCTTGTCCTCCCTCTCATTCCCCCCCCCCTTTGCCATAATTCTGCCCAGCAACAGATTTGCTTAACAAGGGTTACTTTAAGTAAGCCATTCTTGGGGGCGGGGGGGGGGAGAAGGCCCAAGTGTTGGCTCCCAGACTCCCATAGCTGCTCCCTGTTCTAGGGTGGGGGCCTTGGAATTAGGCAGGTGGCAGGAACAATTTGTAATGTGGCTTCAGAGGGGCAGATGCCCCTTCACACATGAACTTGAATGCCAGTTGATGCTCCTCATAGAAAGGAAATAGATTTTATTATAAAAAGACCCAAGCAAAGGCACACATACTGCATCCAAAACTTAAAAGACTTCGGTATTACTGATATATGTCTTCGCTGGGCTTTAGTTCTCATTTTAATTCTCTAACGTGAATCCATAATACATTTAGGCCTTGAAGAATAGGACAGCGGTTTTACCCATTCCTTCACAAATTCCTAGCAGATCATAAAGTGTGTCGGGGGGGGGGGACAAAGAGAATGGACAATAGACCATTCTTGGCATAACCAATGCCATGAAATATTTGACTCCAGAATTTGTTTAGACACACAACCAGTTTTGCAAAAATTTCTTTCTTGGAATTAATTGTTCCCCAAAACATCTGACATTCCAGAAGAATTTGCAAACATTGTACATAGAGAAGAGCATGTTGACTAAGAAAAATCAGTCAAAGCAGCAAAGATGTAAATGTACCATTTGCCACAGCCAGTGGAACCTCACTATGGTCATTCCTTCCCTTCAGTTCCATGATAAGATAGAGCCGATGCTGGAGACGCTAGAGAACCTCTCCTCCCGCCTGCGCATGCCTCCCTTGATCCCAGCTGAGGTGGAAAAAATCCGCGAGTGCATTGGTGACAATAAAAATGCCACCCTGGAGCTGGAGAAGCTGCAGCCATCCTTCGAAGGACTGAAACGCCGGGGAGAAGAGCTGATTGGACGATCCCAAGGAGCAGACAGGGACTTGGCAGCCAAAAGTAAGGCACTGGAACTGCTTGGAATCCAGGACGTGCACATGATCTCTCTTTCTTGGTGTGGCATGACATGCAGAGAACCACAGGTTTCCTAGCACAGCATGTAGGATTTTTCCCTATGGGTTTGTCTGGGGGTTTAATCCTCCTTGCTCTGTTTCAGACATCCAGGATAAGTTAGATCAGATGGTATTTTTCTGGGAAGACATCAAAGCTCGGGCTGAGGAGCGTGAGATCAAGTTCCTTGATGTTCTGGAGCTGGCGGAAAAGTTCTGGTATGACATGGCTGCCCTCCTAACCACTATCCGGGATACGCAAGACATTGTCCATGACCTGGAAAGTCCTGGAATTGATCCATCAATCATCAAACAGCAGATTGAAGCAGCTGAGGTAGGAAGACAGAAGCATTTCATCCTTTCCCACATTATGCATAACTTGAGTCCTTCAAGCGAGCTGTGATGGCCAACCGAGGGAAATTTGGATTTACAGAAGGTTTAAGAAGGGATGCCTCTTAATTCCCGTTTCCTATTCAGAACAATCACTGGAACAGTGTTTGTTGGAGAGAAAACCATTGTTCTAGTTAGCTTCCTGTTTCAACAGGCTGTGAACTTTTTTCTAAGAATAAACCTTAGAACGTTTAATCCATATAATAGGTTTAAAATAGCGACCCACAGAGAGAAAATGACTTGCTGAAAAACCTGAAAATATCCCATTCTTTGATGTATTTACCCATTTTTGTGCTACCTTGTATTTTTTTTTCCTATAGCAAAGGCATAGATTGCTCTACAAGCATCACACTCTAGAATAAACTCTGATTGTAGACACAATTTCAGAAACACAGTTGCTGATAGATATGTGTGGATGGCTCTGGTAGGCGAATTTTGCCCATCTGTTTTTTGATCCTCCCCTGTAGACCATCAAGGAGGAGACTGACAGTTTGCATGAAGAACTGGAATTCATCCGAATCCTTGGAGCCGATCTGATTTTCGCCTGTGGGGAGACGGAAAAGCCAGAAGTTAAGAAAAGCATTGATGAGGTAGGTGACAGTCATTTCAGATGATTTGGACTGAAGTGTTTTGATGGGACAGTGGGAGGCCAAACGGGTATCTGCATTGGCATCCCCCCAATCTACTCGGCAAGAAATTCATGCCACTGGCGGCCCTCTCCCCCTCCACTGACCTGGGCACCTCTACCAAATGACCCTCTGCCCGAGTGCCCTGCCACCAGTGCCCACCCTCTGGCAAATTGTGCCAGAGCTGTACATTTCTGCCTGTCCTTGCAGATGAACAGTGCCTGGGAACACCTGAACAGAACCTGGAAGGAAAGGCTGGAGAAGCTGGAGGAGGCCATGCAGAGTGCAGTGCAGTATCAGGATAATCTGCAGGTGAGGCCAGAGGGCCTGACAGGAGCCGGGGGAGGGCATCTTTCTGGGCAGGAGGGCTGCAGCTGTCCCCTCGGGCCCGTTGGTCTTGAGGGGTTTCCTGGCAATGTTACTGGAGGGGGGCAAGATTTGGAGAGCTAAGGCAGGAAATGGATGCAGAGACCTAGATTACACAACGCCACACCTCCTCAGCCATTCTCACACCAAGAACCAGCCAGTGAAATGGAGCAGCGGCTGCTGGATTTGAGTGGAGTGGCTTATGCCCATTTTCTGGGCTTAGAGGGGCTCAAGGGTGCTGTGGAGGTCCTTAGCACAACCATTTTAGTTTTAGTGTGCCAGGAAGAGCCCAACAATTCTGCAGTTGAAATTCAGCCATTTTGCTGCTGAATTTCAGGAGTGTGAACCTTGACTTTTGGGGTGGTGGAGGATGAGTAAATTTCAAGATTGCCCATCCCTCTCCACCTAATGGGAAGCCAAAGGATGGGGGGGGGCAGAGGTAAACTTCCTCTCTGTGCCACCTGTAATGGCCTTGTGGTGAAGAACCGATGTCCTGGCCAGTGCAAGAAGTAGCATCATTAGAGTGGAAGGAGGCAGATTCTTAAGAAGAAGGGAATGCTGGGAGCCAATTAAGCCTTGGGGCCTCTGTGCCCAGGAGGGGTACATCTCTGAACAGCCACGGTTGGGAAAGAGTCCTGATTCTCGGAGTCCACAGTTTGGCAGGATGGAGGTTAACTAGGTTCTCCTTCATTTGTGTCCATGTTCTTCTTTCAGACTATGTTTGACTGGCTAGATAACACAGTGATTAAACTCTGCAGCATGTCTCCAGTGGGCACAGACCTCTGCACTGTCAAAGAGCAACTGAACGAGATGAAGGTGTGTGCCAAGCAGGACATTTCTCCAAATCTTGAGGCATCTGTGGTGATAGAGGCAGCCTAGAAGGTCATCCTCATTTTGTACTTTTTGCAGGAATTCAAAACAGAAGTATACCAGCAGCAAATAGAGATGGAGAAGCTGAATCACCAGGGAGGACTCTTGCTCAAAAAAGCCACAGATGAGACAGACCGAGACATCATCAGGGAGCCACTGACAGAACTAAAGCATCTTTGGGAGAATCTGGGTGAAAAAATAGCTCATCGACAGGTATGGCAAAGCCCCAGGCACAGAGCTGGATGGGTGGATGGGTCATTTCTGAGTTAAGGCAATAGCTCCCACCTTTTAGGATCAGGTTCCTTAAGGAAGAGCTTTTCCAGGTGGTCCTAATCCTCACCTGGCTGCCTCTGAAGAGGCTTTGGCTCGTATACAGCTGATGGAAATGACCAGAGAGACCTTCCATCTGGAACAGTTTTTTTCAACCTTGGCCACTTTTAGATATGTGGACTTCAATTCCCAGAATATGCCAGGCAGCAGAATTTTGGGAGTTGAGAACATCTTATAGACACTAAAGTTGAGAGACACTGGTTTAGAGGCTGCATTCAGAACATGAAATATTTTTAAAATATTTTAAAATCTTTATAGTTTTCTTGCCTTTTCTGAGCAGTAACGGAAAGATATGATAAAATGTACTGAATGTTAAAACAAACCTTTTTTTATTCTCTTCCTCCGCTCCATTAAACAGCACAAGCTGGAAGGCTCTCTCTTGGCCCTTGGCCAGTTCCAGCATGCCCTGGCTGAGCTCATGGCTTGGCTGAGCCACACCGAAGAGCTGCTGGATTCCCAGAGGCCCATCAACGGGGACCCCAAAGTCATCGAAGTGGAGTTGGCCAAGCACCATGTGAGTGAAGGGGGGGGGGATGCATAGAGTCCTCTGGCAGGGATGCTGTCCCAGCAAAGAATTCTGCTTTGATTTACATCATTTTTCAGGGTCTTGAGGGCCAGATCCCTGTGCTAGCTTAATAACAGAAGCCATTCAGTTCCTTTGGGACCCTAGGGGTTTTTTCCCCCAGCATCTCTGTGGTCTCTACCTTAACATCTTATCAACCTGCTGCTGGGAAGTAATCATGAAAGTAGTGAGGCTACACAATTAGTGGTCAGGATCTTTAGCCATGGGGTGATTCAATAGCCTGCAGCCCTCAAACTGCACCCCCTCCGCAGGAAATCCCACCTGAGGCCATTGCAGACCAGTGAACAGCCTTTTGAGAGAGGGGGCTGATAGTCCGCTGGGGCCAGAGCCCAGAAGGGCCACATTGGGTGTAGAAGAACTAATCGCTCAGCTCCAGGCAGCATCTTCTCCTCTGCTTCTGGAGGCAGATTAAGGTGCAAGGAGAGGCCAAGGTGGCTGCTTTGAAAGCGCTCCTTGATGTTTTCAGCTTGAGTTGTCTTCTGCAAAGGCAAAGCTTTAAGTTGAGCTCTTTTTAATGAGGGCTGCAAAGACAAACACCTGTATTTTCTTCACCCACAACACCATCCTAGGTGCTGAAAAATGATGTGTTGGCCCACCAAGCCACAGTGGAGACAGTGAACAAGGCTGGCAACGAACTCCTGGAATCCAGTGCAGGGGACGATGCCAGCAGTCTCCGAAACCGCCTGGAGACCATGAACTCCTGCTGGGAGTCAGTCCTGCAGAAGACGGAAGTGCGGGAGCAGCAGCTGCAGGCAACCCTTCAGCAGGTAAGCGAGTCGGGTCTGCCAGTCTGGTGAGCTGGGAAGATGGAGCGATGCAAGGGAAGGGCCTTCGCCTGCTCTGGGCTCTTGCCCTACCCTGGTCCGGAGAGTGGCATTTCTCTTGCTCTGTTGGCTGGGCCAAAGCTGCGGAAGAGCTTGCACGGGGGTGTAATGTTGTGATTTTCAGGGCCTTTTGCAGGTCATTGTTTTTTTATATTATTATATATGTTATATTGTATACTTATAAGGTATCATTTTGTAAGTTTGTATTTACTGGGAAATACAGCATTTGCTGATCTTGCACTCCAACCCATAAATGTCCCTCCTTGTTCTCTGCATGTGTCACAGGCCCAGGGCTTCCATGGTGAAATTGAAGACTTCCTTTTGTGGCTCACCAGGATGGAAAGTCAGCTGTCAGCTTCCAAGCCGACGGGTGGACTGCCAGAAACTGCTCGGGAACAACTGAACGTCCACATGGTGAGTCATGGCAACTGAATGCTGACTCCTTTGTGGATGGGGGGATTCGGTCTGAGAAAGGGCTTTTTCAATAGTATAAATGCCCCTTAGAGAGTTGGTCTACAAGACAAAGACAAATCTTCCAAAAACATAGTTTAGTCACAAAGTCCTCATGAATGTTTGTGGTTTAGCCAAGAATCCTCAAGTCTTGTAGGAAAAAGGTGTGAAAATAGTATGCATCCATTTTAGGACATCTTAACACAACAGAAATCTAAACTTAATAGGACAGGGGTCCCCAACCCCCGGTCTGTGGACCGGTACCGGGCTGCAGCATGCCAGCAGCCGGTCCACACAAACAAGCAAAGCCCCGTGTGTGGGATGCAGGCAGCAGACAAAACTATGCACTCTCTGGTCCGTGGAAAAACCTCTCTCCACGGAACCGGTGATCCCTGGTGCCCAAAAGGTTGGGGACCTCTGCAATAGGAGACTGGATGCTAAACCATACAATGAACGATTGAGGGAACTTGATATGTCTAGTCTAGCAAAGAGAAGGATTAAAGGTGACACAAGTCTTCCAATATTAGAAGGACTGACACAAAGAAGATGGGGTCAACCTATTCTCCAAAGCATTGAGGCAAGACAAGAAGTAAGAGGTGGAAGATTATCAAAGAGAGACCCAACCTAGAACTAAGGAGAAATTTCCAGACAGTGAGAACAATCAACCAGTAGAACAGCTTGCCTCTCAGAATTGTGGGTGCTCCATCATTGCAGGTGTTTAAGAAGAAATTGAATAGCCATTTTCCTGGAATAGTATAGGCGGTCCTGTTTGAGCAGGAGGTTGGACTAGATGACCTCTAAGGTCACTTCCAACTCTGTTATTCTGTGTTCTGTCATTATCCAAACATTCCCTGAGTCAAAAAGTGGTGGCAAAGAAGAATGTGGTTTATCTTGAGGAGAAATCCTGCAAAATGTCTCTTCTGAAATGCTTCTTTCTGTTCTAGGAGCTCTATGCCCAGTTCAAGGCAAATGAGGAAATCTACAGCCAGCTGCTGGCAAAGGGGAGGCTGATGCTTCTGAGCCGTGATGATTCTGGATCTGGATCAAAGATGGAGCAAAGTGTGGCTCTCTTGGAGCAGAAATGGGTCCTTGTCAGCACAAAGATGGAAGAGCGGAAGGTAGTGAGCAGGGCTGATAAGGGACTTGGTTACACCACACACCTGCTTTCTGCATTCAGATTGGTATGATTCAAACACTCACTGGAGGAAAAGGTTGGCCTTTCTCTGGCAGCACATCAGCTCTTTGATTGACAGGTCTGTTTCCAACTTTATACAAGTAAACAGGATTCTCTGCATGTCGGCGTCATGGAGTTCACAGAGGAACTGTTGAAGTTTAGTGGAACAAAAGAATCAGGAAATAGGGCTGGGAGGGAGAAGCAGGAATCTGAGATTGCGGAAGGAGATGTAGCCAATATGAGTTCAGCCTTGGGAAGCAGCGTGACACACACCAAGTACCTTTTCTTGGGAGTTTGAAAGTTGGCAAGGTTGAGAAACACTGCTCTGAATCCTTTGGAAAGTGCAGCCTTGCGGTTCCCTTGTGCATGCACAAAAGCCTGGTTGTCTCTGGGCTGGAGGTCAAGCAATGGTGACTGAATACAGGCAGCAGGATTGGGTCCAGTCCAGCGGGGTGTAAAGGTTGAATGCAATGACTTCTCAAAGTCATAAATGACCTCTCTTCTTTCAGGAAACTGCAAAGGGCTGCAGCAGTTTTCTGCCATAGAAAAGTTTCTCTTAGTTATTTTGAGTTGGATTCTCTCCAGCACTCTTCACTGGGTGGGGTGGGGGTGGGGTGAAAGGGAAAAGTATTCACCCCACTGAGAACATGAATGAAATTCTCATTTTGCTCTTGGAGGAGGTGCATGCAAAATCCATGCTCTTGGCCTGGAAGGTCAACCACCCTTTTTTTTTTTCTGCCTCCCTCCCTCCTCTACCATGTCCCCTATTTAGTCCAAGCTGGAAGAGGCACTCAACTTGGCAACCGAATTCCAGAATTCCCTGCAGGACTTCATCAACTGGCTGACCCTTGCGGAGCAAGGTCTGAACGTTGCTTCTCCTCCAAGCCTCATCCTTAACACTGTGCTCCCCCAAGTAGAAGAGCACAAGGTAAGGGCATCCCAAACATCACCCTGTAACAAGGCCCCCGTCCACACCTTAATCTTCTGCTTAATCTTGGCCTTCTGCTCACGGCTCCCCTGAGGAACGTCAGCCAAAGGGTCTCAGGGTGGGACTTCAGCCTTGCCTGCAGGCGTCTCTCACTTCACCCAAAGGAAAGAGATTTGGCCCCATAATGCCAGGATTCCAAAGAAGAGTCTGTGGAAGGATTTATCTTTTGTTTCCTCTCCACCCACCCATGGCAGAGTTTTGCTAACGAAGTAAACGCTCACCGGCATCAGATCATTGCTCTGGACCAAAGCGGAAACCAGCTGAAGTTTCTGAGCCAGAAGCAGGATGTTGTCCTGATCAAGAACCTCCTTGTCAGCGTACAGTCTCGCTGGGAGAAGGTTGTCCAGCGGTCAGTTGAAAGGGGACGGGTTCTAGATGATGCCAGGAAGCGGGCAAAACAGGTGAGTGTCCTGGGGGGCAGTGCGCTTTGTTAGCTGCTCATTGGGAGTCAAATAGGTCAACTTGGGCTTACAAAATAGCTTAGATACTTGCAAAGTAACATCATGGTCCCAGATGCTACGTTTGCTACCTTAACAGCAGGACCACCGTTAAAATGCATGAAAAGCTGTCGGCTGAGCAGTGAGAGGACGAAGGGAGGGGATTCTTTTGGCGGGGGGGGGGGGCAACAATGTGAGGAGACCGAGGAGGGCCTGGCTTGTTTGCCCTTAAGGAAGATTGAGGCAAGATGGGAAACCCTGTGGAACAAGAAACGCGTTGGGAAGGTGTGAGCTTGCACAGGGGAATGGGAGGACCCAACAGGGAGAGGGAAAACAAGCTTGGGAAGAAAGAGAGAGTGCGGTCAAGTGAAGGGCACAGAGAGGGCTGGAAAAGGGAGGAAGCCAGGAATTTTGGCTTGATAAAGAATTGGCAGGGGAGCAAAGCAGAGGCTTCTGGAGATGGGCGGTGGGTGCAAGGGTCTCTCCAGGAGATGCAGTGGGTGTGGGAGTAGAACCTTGGGAGACAGCAGGGAGAGCCGCAGCCCAGAGAAGACCCCTCTGAGAAGACCCCTCTGAGTCGGAAGGAGGGAGGGGTGGGAAAGCATCTCACAAGGGACCCTCTCTACTTCTCTGGAAGGAGAAGGTGGGGGAGGGGGAGGGGAAAATGCTTTCAGAGTTGCAAGATTTCTGTAGCCTCACAATAAAAGGGGAGTTAATACTTTTGGTTTGGGTCTCCTGACCTGAGGGCATCTTGGAAAAGGGAGCTCCAATTCCACCCTGAGAATTGTGGGACTCTACTTCCTAGGGCTGCCGAGGAAGAGTCGGTGCCTGGGCCATGAACGATGCCAGGGGGAAAAGATAACCCGAAAGTTGACATAGATTTTACTGGGAAAAACAAGGGATCAGATATGTAACACTCACTCTTGGTGGTACATTTTTACATTCTAGTTCCACGAAGCTTGGAAAAAGTTGGTGGACTGGTTGGAAGATGCTGAAAATCATCTAAATTCTGAGCTGGAAATTTCCAATGATCCAGACAAAATCAAATTGCAGCTTTCCAAGCACAAGGTTGGAGTCCAGTTACAGTGTATTTATATATTAAATTTTGAAACCGCCCATCTCACTCAGTCTACAGTTAAATACATTAAAAAAACCCATATAAATATTGTACCCCACTAGGAGGGAATTAAAACAATAATTAAAGTTAAGGTGGGGGGAAAGCCTTCAAGGCACTAACCAACCTTAAGGTGGCAGGCTCCTTTGTGAGCGGGGCTTCAGAAAGGCCAGAAGGGTGAGGACCCGGCTCACCTCTTGGGGGAGACGATTCCAAAGAGGGGGGGTGAGGCCAGAGAAGGCTCTCTCTCTCTTGGATCCTGCCTGACGGGATCCTCAGTGCACCTTGCCTGCCTGACTGGGTGGGAGGGGCCAATGCAATGGGAAGAAGAGGGCTCCGCAGGCAGCCTGGCCCATGCAGAGGGCTCTAAAGGTCATCACCAACACCTGGCATTAGACCCAGAAGCCAAGTGGCGTCCATTACCTGGGTCTCCTTTGGTCGTCAAAATTGCTTGCGCAGCCACATTCTGTACCAGCTGAAGCTTCTGGATACTTTTCCAGAGGAGCCCCACACAGAGAATGATTGCAGTAGTCCAGATGGGAGATGACCAGGGTGTGAGTCCTCCCAATCCAAGAAGGGTCAAAATTGGCACACAACACAAAGTGTCAAGGAGGAACAAGGACCTGGGAAAGGCTAGGTCAGCCAACAGCCTGGACGAGAAACAGATTGCAAGAGCCCATTACCAAAAAGGATGGGCGGAGAAAGACCCTCAGGATTTAGGTAGCTGCTGTTCAACTGAAACAAAGAGACCAACTGATGAGAGTCTTAATCATGAATTATTTCAGGAAGCCTTTTTGGGAACTCCTCCTCCTCCTCCCTTGTCCAGAAGGACTTTCTGCCCTTCCTTTCAGTCCCTTTGCCAAACTTTTATTCTTCCCCCTCCCCCCTCAAAGTAACCAGGGGGGGAAATGACATAAATCAGTTCAGGGCAGGATGAACCTAGAGAGGGTCGAACAGAGCCAGACCCTTTTTGACCTGGGAGGAGAAGCCACTGAAAGGAAGGCTGAGCTTCACCTGGGCTTCCTCCAGTGCATCCATTCTCCACCCCCTTCCTCTCTCCCTGTCCCGTGACCCAGAGCGCAGCCCAGGCCCTGCCAAGGGACACGCAGGTGGCCCAGATGCAAGAGGGGAAGGCAAAGCAGAAGCCCAAGCGGGCGCCACACGTTACCTCTGTGTGCCTAATGACATGCAGGCACCTCTTATGACTGCTGCTGCTGCTGAGAAAGAGCTCCAGAGGAAGGCAGGCAGGCTGGAAGTGGCTGGGAGGGGCCCAGGGAGGTGCTGCACGAGGTGGGGAGACAGGCAGCAAGCTGGGGCTGCCTGGCCCAGGAAAGCCCCCTGGTCCTCTTCAGTCTGCAGCCTCCCTCCAGCTACCATTGGAAGAGACAAAGGGAGAGAAAATGCAGTGGTTTGCTTCACCTTCCCTAATTCTTAAAAATAATTTCTGTCAAAAACTCAGGAGTTCCAGAAAACCCTGGGAGGCAAGCAGCCTGTTTATGACACCACCATCCGCACTGGGAGAGCCCTGAAAGAGAAAGCTCATTTCCCTGATGATACCCAGAACCTGGATCATCTCCTGGGGGAAGTCCGGGATAAATGGGACACCGTTTGTGGCAAATCTGTGGAGCGGTGAGTGAGAGCAGGTGGCAGGTGCCCTCGGAGCTGACTTCTGTCTGTTTGACTGCTGGGGGCACCACGGGGGTTTGGGGCAGGGAGAAATTGCAAGTCTAGTCAGGGAATTCCTGCTCTTGGCAAGAGTAAGCCCCATTTGGGCTCCAAGGAGATCGCCTGCCATCTTTCCCGTGTCTCTTTGCAGGCAGCACAAACTAGAAGAGGCGCTTCTCTTCTCTGGGCAGTTCATGGATGCCCTGCAGGCCTTGGTGGACTGGCTCTACAAAGTGGAGCCCCAGTTGGCCGAAGACCAACCTGTCCACGGGGATCTGGATCTGGTCATGAATTTAATGGACGCTCACAAGGTAACTGCTGAGGTGCAGCACAAGGAATGGCCCTTCGCAAAATGAGCAGCCAGCCTCCAGCTTTGTCACTCTTTCTAAAACAGGTGTGGGCTGCATGTGGCCCTGGACAGCTAGTAATACAGCCTCACAAGATTGTAAACTTTTAACATTATTATATGCTGGGTCTTGAAAATCTGCAAGAAAACAAGCAAGCTCAGAGAGCACCAAAGACCCCTCATTTATATACATTAACCGTATTTCTGTGCATCACTCAGTGCAGCCCAGGCAGGCTGAAAGGTTGGACGTGCCTGTTCCAGAATGTGCTGGAGCAGAGTGGGCTTTGGGAACAGCAGTCAGGGAGCTGTCCTCTTGAGTGGTTGCAGTTTGCAGCCTTGCTAAAACATCAAACCAGCTTTATTAAGGAAAAAATAAACTACTTCTGACCTTTGCAAGAAAACTATATTTAGCCGCCATGAGTGAAGCTTGGTTCAAGGGTATTTTTTCGTTTCCTTGTTAGGTTTTCCAGAAAGAACTTGGCAAGCGGACGGGAACCATCCAGGTCCTCAAGCGCTCAGGCCGGGAGCTGATTGAGAACAGTCGGGATGACACCACCTGGGTGAAGGTGCAGCTTCAGGAGCTTAGCAGCCGCTGGGACACAGTCTGCAAGATGTCTGTCCTGAAGCAGACACGGCTGGAGCAGGCCTTAAAGCAGGTGGGGGAGAATGAGGCAGAGCCACCTTGCACTCACACTTGTTCTTCCCTCCACAGACTTTCTGAAAGGAGGAGGGATTGAAGTTGTGTCCCCCCCCCTTGCTGGTCTTGGAAGCATGCAGGTTGCATCTGGATGGATGGAGGGCAACCACCATAGCAAGGAGAGAAGTGTGGGGGCCCTGTGATTACCTCACAGGAGTTAAGGTCCAGTGTGTGGAAAGTAGGCCTAGAACTTAATTCCAAACACTCAGTAACCCTGAGGCACCTCAGAGAAGGCCAACCTGTTAGAGGGCCCTGAGGGAGACAAGCATCTCTCTCGGTCTACCACCTGCGTCATGGATAGTGGTTGCACTCATAAAATAGTGCCTCCTGTCCTATTTCAAGTTTCAGTCTCTCTCTCTCTCCCTCTCTCTCTCTCTCTCTCCCTCCCCCACCCCTCTCTCTCCCTCCCCCCCCCCTCTCTCACACACACACACACACCCAAAGTAAGGAAAGCAATTTACTCAAGACTGAGAGGATAATAGCAGAAGGGAAGAAATTAAAATCAACAAAGTCCCTTTGGTGGTTTTGCTTTCAACAGAAGAGTAGCCAGAATCCACTCCAAAGTTCAGAGAGCCAAGTTAGGTTTGCCACAAATCCAAGCTCAGAGTTTTATATGCAAGATTCACAGAAGCAATACACCAGAGCAGGAGATCCAACGCTTGCTTACAGCAGAGTGAGATGGGTGAGGGCTGCGTTTTTAATCAGTCTTTAATCAGGAGAGTTACTTCCCTGCTTGGCAAGGAGCCTCATTGAGTACCCCTACTCTGCTCTCCTCTCTACTGCCCGAGTATCAGGGGCTTGGAGGCCGGGTCCTCATAGGATTGTTTCAGTTATGTTGAGGATGCCTCTGATCCAGTGACTCCTGGCTTGGGGTCTCCTGAGGCTGACATTCCACGGCTTCAGCTGGAGAAACTTCTCCAGAGTCTGAGTCCTGGGCGTGACACTTCCAGGGCACATCTGGCTGGGTGCCGCTGACTCCTTTGGCCCATCTGGAGGGGCAAGTTGCAGAGGTGGAGGACTGACTGAGGGGCTTCTGCTTTTCAGGCTGAGGAGTTCCGTACCGCCATCCACCAGCTGCTGGAGTGGCTCTCGGAGGCCGAGCAGACCCTCCGCTTCCGGGGAGCTTTGCCCGATGACACGGAAGCTCTGCAGTCGCTCATTGATGTGCATAAGGTGAGCGGTGATCCCATGGATGCAGGGTGGGCCAGGGCAGGGCAGGGGGGCTGCGGGTAACGGTGAGTGCCTTTGCGTTGCCTCGTGCAGGAGTTCATGAAGAAAGTGGAGGAGAAAAGGCTGGATGTGAACTTGGCGGTGGGGATGGGAGAGATCATCCTGTCTGTGTGCCATCCAGACTGCGTCACCACCATAAAACACTGGATCACCATCATCCGTGCTCGATTCGAAGAAGTGAGTTGCCGTGTGGACATTGGTTTCTTGTCCACTGAGTTGGGCCTGTTGTGGTGGCTGAAGGGGTTCCTTTTGTTAATTGTGGGGTATTCTGCACCTCTGGAATAATCAGCTCCAGATCTCTGTCTTCACCCTTCCAGACGCACAACTTGCTCTGCCTCTCAGTCTTTTGTCTTGGCCTGTTTCTCCTCCAGGTTCTCACGTGGGCAAAGCAGCACCAGCAGCGGCTTGAAGTGGCGCTTCGGGAACTCATGGCCAATGCAGAACTGCTGGAAGAGCTTCTGGCGTGGATCCAGTGGGCAGAAACCACGCTGATCCAGCGGGAGCAGGAGCCCCAGAATATCGAGCAGGTCAAGGCCCTCATTGCAGAGCATCAGGTAACGGCCGTCCCCGTGTTCTCCTGACCCCTTCCTCAAGGACAGCAGCGTCTGTCCTTCCCATGGGATGCATTGATGGGAGCAAGCGCCAAAAGTGCTCAGTGCCTGCCATGGAATTGCTAGCGGCAATGCCACAACCGTTGCTTCTTGAGGCTTTGAGCTTTAATGTTGCAAAAGGAGGGCTGAGAAAAGTAGCTGGACATTTGCAAACTGTTGCATCTTTTCTCCTTCCAGTCCTTCATGGAAGAGATGACCCGGAAGCAGCCAGATGTGGACCGTGTCACCAAAACATACAAGAGGAAAGCGACTGAGCCAGCTCATGGCCCTTTCCTGGAAAAATCCCGCAGCAACAGTAAGTTGTTATAACTTGGGGTGCCAGCCACAAGTGCCAGGGGTGCGGGGTTGTGGGGGAAGCCTGCGGAGAGCCCTGCCGTGGTTCCTTCCCGCCTGGCCTGGCCTGGCCTGGTGCCAGCAGGTGCCAAGCAATCAAGCTATTCCCTGCAGGCTCAGCCTATGAACGGTCGTCTCTTTTAGGGTTGGTCCTACCTCTCAAAAGTCAGGTCTAAACAAAGTGGTCTCACCCGTCCCCAGCTGAGGGGAAAAAGAAAAATCCTTTGGCATAGTTTTGATGGGTGTTTCCCATTTTCTTCTCTGCTCCTTTCCTTTCCCCCTTTTTCATGCTCTGGCTTGGCTGAGCTTGGCTTTTTTTAGCTCACCTGCTTTTTATTCCAGGAAAGCCCTTGAACCAGGTGGCCCCTCCTCCCCTGCCAATCCTCTCGCAGTCTGAAGCCAAGAACCCACGCGTCAACCAGCTCTCGGCACGCTGGCAGCAGGTGTGGCTCCTGGCCCTGGAGCGGCAGCGCAAGCTCAATGATGCCCTGGACAGGCTGGAAGAGGTGAGAATCCTCTTCCGCACATGGGCGGGGCAGCCTTGGACGTGGGGCAGCAGGAAATGGAAGCAGAGTTGAAGGTTGGGGCTGATCTGAGTTTCAGATACACAAGCACCGCTGGTGCACATCCCTCTCCTCCCCCAGCAGCTGCCACCTGGCCCTTCCTGCCTTCCCCATTCCCCAGCCGCTTGCTCACCTACGCTGGAAGCCACTGAAAAGCTGACACCTCCTAAATGTGTTGGCCCTTCCTTGGGACTTATTATACTTAGGCCCACTTGGAGGTCTCCGGCTGCAGGAATATCCCATGAAATAAGTGTCACCTTCTGCCACCACAGGAGTTCCTGGTCAGTTCCAGCAATAACAACAGGCCTAAAACTTGGCAGTCAATACATTTTTTTTTCTGTTGTCATCTCACAAAGAGAAAGATGCAACTCCCACAATTGTGTCTGAATGCACAGAACTGACTGGGAGGGGAAAGGCTTTTCCCCTTTTTCTGGTACTCTCATTTTTGGCAGATGACATTCTCACCCCACCCGCTCATACACAGACACAACCCCAAGGAGCCTCCCATATTGTAATGATGCCCAGCTACGGGAATTCGGAGACCTTTCAAGCAGGGATGCCTGTGGCCCTGGGCTGGTGCAGGGAAGGATATATCTGCTCCTGATCTTGCAAGAAAATGTTGACTGTTGCTCCCCACTGCTTTTCAAGATGGCCCATTTGGGGGTCTTCTGGCCTTACAGAATAATATGCTTAGATGGATATGAAAATCACATCCATTAGTTGCAAAAACTACCTTGAACACAGCCTGGGTTGACTCAACCCAGTAAGTTTCAAACCTATCCAAGGTTAAGTCTAGCAAAATAAGCCCAAGTTGGGCCAATGGACCTGAAGTGTCTTTAACTGACCAATTAAGCATCTTAATAATAGTAGTAGTAGTAGTAGTAGTAGTAGTAGTAGTAGTAGTAGTAGTAGTAAAGTTGGAAGGGCTCTTGGAGGTCATCTCGTCCAACCTCCAGCTCAGGCAGGAAACCCCCATTTCAGACATTATGTGAACAGAGCACATAATTTTTTCTCCTTCTATTTCCAAGTTGAAAGAGTTTGCAAACTTTGACTTTGATGTATGGCGGAAGAAATATATGCGCTGGATGAACCACAAGAAATCCCGTGTGATGGACTTCTTCCGGCGGATTGACAAAGACCAGGATGGGAAGATCACCCGGCAGGAGTTCATTGATGGGATCCTGGCCTCTAGTGAGTGCCTGCTTGTTCCAAATCTTGCTTTGCTTGCTGGGCAACTGAGCAACTGAGCAGCAAGAAGGGTGGCTCCGTGTCACAGAGGTTTTTTTCTGTCTGATTACCCCAAGGCACCGGGCTTGTTTTGCACAGAGGCAGATGGCCATCCATACCTGGCAGCCAGGTTGACTTGCAGCTCAAGCACTGGAAAGCTGCAGGTGGAACAGCAAGAGCACTTAGACTTACATACCGCTTCACAGCGCTTTACAGCCCTCTCTAAGCGGTTTACAGAGTCATCCTAGGGCCCCCAACAATCTGGGTCCTCATTTTACCAACCTCAGAAGGATGGAAGGCCGAGTCCACCTTGAGCCGGTCAGGATCGAACAGCTGGCAGTCAGCAGAATTAGCCTGCAATACTGCATTCTAGCCACTGTGCCACCATGCAGAGTAGAATGGCTGGGGTCTTCCTGCCTGATGTACCAGTTTGTGCAGGGATTTCTGCGTATCTCACAGTGGTGCCCCTCAGTCAGTTAAAGTGACATCATTGGGCTATGGACTGTGTAACTTAATGGAGGCCAGGCTGTAGCTTCATGGCAGGTGGGAGTGGGACCTCAGCCCCTCTCTTTGGTTCCCCTTCCCTCTGTCCCTGGAAACTTTACCACAAGAGAAAGTCTTCAGTTCCACGTAACCCGTTTTGACTATGACACACTTGGTTCTCTTTATATTAATCCAAGATGCCCTTAGGTGGTCCCCAGTGGTGCTCATGGCCATCCAGCCATTTTCCACAGCTGTTGGGGCTGGGGGGGCGGATAGCATTGGCGTAATGATTCTGCAGCAAAGTAAACCAACAATGGTTTTTGGCCATCATTTCCTTATTTCTGCTTATATCAGTATTAGGAAAAAATCCAAAACCACGTTTCTGCCCACTTCACACAAGACACGGGATGCCCAAGGAAGGGTGTGAAAAATGATAACTCCGAAGCCAAGCACTTTGAGCAAACTGTGTCTTGCAAGGCTCGTACCAGTCGGCCAGGCATCTAGCCATAACTGGAGTCAGACGAAGTTTCCACTTTGCCTAATGTCGCTCCATCTCTTGCCACAGAGTCTGCTTGTCTTGTTCCCCAGAAACAGAGGCTGTGCCCCTGCTAGAGAGGCCCTTGTTGCCTGGTTGGGGTAGGGAGGAGGCCGTGCCCAGGAGTGGCAGGGGCCCATCATTTTGAAAGCTTCACTGAAGGGACTGGCATCCTTCTCTTCTCCTTCTCTTCCTTCCCCAGAATTCCCCACAACCAAGTTAGAAATGACGGCTGTCGCTGATATCTTTGACCGTGATGGGGACGGCTATATTGACTATTATGAGTTTGTAGCTGCTCTGCACCCTAACAAAGATGCTTACCGGCCAACAACAGATGCGGACAAAATCGAGGATGAGGTAGGGGTTTGGCTGAGGGACTCGGGGCGGGGGGAGAAGAGACAGTAAACTGGGCTCTCCCTGGGCTCTGCAGGCCACGAGCTCCCTGTCGCCACTGGTCGAGATGGTGCATTGTCACTTTCTCTCCATTTCTCGATAAATTCCTGGGGTTTTATGAGAAAGACGTAGGTGGAACAGCAGTCAGTAAACATTCCTCCCATTTACTGCTCCTTGTGGGCCCCTTTTCCCTTTATTTCTCGGGGATGGAACTGTTGACTCTGGGATCCCCTTTCTCTTGTGGGAGGGCTGTGTGGGAAGATTTATCAAAGTCATTGGAATAGAGTAATAGATTGTTTTCCCCCAAAGCAAGGATACGTCCCTTCTTCCTCTGCCCCCCTCACTTGGCAGCCTTCCAGCTCTCCCACTCCTCCCAGATATCTCCCCCCGCCTTTATTTCCCCATCCATTGTGTTATATCCACTGGAATGTTCATAGTTTAATCATAGAACATAGAATAACAGAGTTGGAAGGGACCTTGGAGGTCATCTAGTCCAACTCCCTGCACAAGCAGGATCGTCTAATTGAGGCACATTCTTTTACTGGCAGTTCATCTTAATCAATAGGTACTAATCCTATGTGAATTTATTTTGAGTCTGCATCCTGCCATTTTTTTAAGTGTGGCATGCAAATGCAGCCAGGATGGGTCGCCTGCCCACCGTAATCGGGACCGGTTTCCTGCATCTGGCACTCCAGCTTGACCAGGGGGAAGGCAGGGGCAGCACAGGACCTCCGTGTTGGTGCACTTTCCCTGTCCACCCTTCATCACTCTTTTTGGTTGGACTTCTGACATTTAGAGTCGCCCTTCTTTGGGGCAAACACCGTCTCGGCCCGTGCTGTACATTGAATAGGAATGCAAGGCAGAGAGGTTGGAGCAGGGCTTGAGCAGCATTGTCCAGCCAGAACTGGCCAGTTGGTGGTAGCCCAGCAGTCCGAGATCATCACACAGCGGCAAAGGCTGCCAAAATAGGCAGCCACCCATTTGAAGCCAGAGCGGAATGAGCGCCAGGAGTACAGGGTTACTTCTATCCGGTGCAAAGTCAGCTTTCTGCAGCAGTCAGTTCCTTCCTGCTTCTTCCTTTACAGGTGACAAGGCAGGTGGCACAGTGCAAGTGCGCCAAGCGATTCCAAGTGGAGCAGATTGGAGAGAACAAGTACCGGGTAAGGAGAAGGAGCCAGGATGGGGGCTGTCTGTGATCTGGGGGGGCCTCAGCAGGCTGACTGGGGCCTGCCAGTGCAGTGCCCTGTTGTGGGAAGGAGACCAGCCCACCCTGTCAGGAAGCAGGCTGACTAAACCCGGGGGGTGGGTGGGTGGGTGGGTCCATGGTGCTCTGCAAAGAGTGTAGAGAAAGCTGCTCCCATGAGCCTGTGTTGGGGGGGGGGTTGTTCTGCCTCATAGTACAATCCTTTCTCAGTTTCTTTCTGGATGCTCACAGAAAAATGGGTTCAGAAATGGGATTTTATCCGATTTCTGATTTTTGTTTGAAGCTCTTCGAATTTGCCCTCTGTCTGAGCTTCTCCGTGTCCCCTGAGCTGACTGGATTTTAGACAAGGCATCAGTAGAGATTCTCAGTTGTCCCAACGGTGCTTTCTTCAAAAAGCAAGTGGGCTTTATTTTTCCTTGAAGACGTTTCGCTTCTCATCCAAGAAGCTGCTTCTTTTGAGGAAAGCACCTTTGGACCAAGGCCAAGCTTGAGGAGCTGCTTTGGGGGCCATTCTTGCAGGGAGGGCGGGGGCGGGATGGAAACCATGGCCCAATCCCAGAGTTTGGCACAAGGTCCTTGGGGCCACTCGTGGCCCTTTCTGCTGGCCGTCCTTTGTGGTAATACTTAAATGGAGGAGCAGCAGTTTAGCAGTGTGGGAAGCACAGAAAACAGTGTCAGCATTGTTGCCCTGTGTGATGTGTTCTCTCTTCTCCCTTTCTCTTCTCGTTTGCATCTCCTCCTCTCTAGTTCTTCCTCGGCAACCAGGTACAGTGAGTCTTGCAGAGCTGCCTCTGCGTTTTCCTCTAGCTAATTCTCCTTCCAAGATGTGCATGTATAATTTGCGTGTCTGTTTCCACACCGGCCTTTTCATAACTATGATTGTTGTGCTTGTGGATGTATTAACTTGACAGAGTTGCTGGTATATACAGAAATGTAGTGAAGCAACCAGGCAGTGACCTCCAATTATAAAAATAAACACAGAATCACACACACACACACACACACACACACACACACACACACACACACACACACACGGAAGTTGGACTGTCCTGCTAATGAGCCATGCAGATACTCTCAGGAATTCCAGGAAGAATTAAAATAAGGAAAGGGCTGAAGAGAGCAGCTGGCCGGAGTGGCCTGCTCGTCCTCCTCTGGTTCCGGAGGCTCCAAAGTGGCCGACCAGAGGAACCGGAGTTGGGCCGGGGACCGTTGTGGCTGGTGGAAACCCTCTCTCCCAGACTGGACCCCAGCAGAGCAGTAGGCCTAACCTGTCTTGGGAAGCTCAGGGACCCTCCCTCCGAATCAGAGTTCCCATCTAGCCTGACCGGGGAGCCGCCCTGCAGCTTTCCTCCTGTCAGATGAGAGCTGGGGGGGCTGAGCCAGGGAGTTTGGCCCAGAGCTTTGGGCTCACTGCACAGAATTGCACGTTTGACCAAGTATTCTGTATATCAACATCTTTCCATGGGTTCCTATTAATTTTCCATTGCTTTGGAAATGCAAGTCCCGAATTCCTCTGGAAAACTCCCTTCCATAAATGGCACTGAACCTCCAAGCCACCTGCAGGGCCCTTTCAACAAGACTCTTGCTTCAGGCTGAGACACACCACAGCTGCTGCAGAGGTATTCCTGGTGTCATTTCTGCCTCCCTGCCGAGTTCACGTCCTGTTGCCTGATTGGGGAGGGGATGGCAGTGAATGTTGGCAGTTGACCTTTTTTGGCCAAATCCAACACAGCAAATGAAATTTCAGTTTCGTAGATCAGTTGAGGAACAAAAAGGTAATAGCTTATCTGTTCAGGCACCCGGAATTATGAAGGAAATGGAAATGATGGTTACATCTGTAGGTCCACAACCCCTGAGATGTGACAATGCCCTCTTTCCATCTGAAATATTTGGGGGAAAGAGAAGACAGTCTGTGGAGCTAAAAAGTACCCCTGGGGTGGAAGCTGATGGGAACTCAAGATGCCGCTAGAGATTAAGCACGCGGCTTCGGTCTGGGGCGTCCCTGATCATTCAGAGCAAATTGCTGGCTCTGCCTGTGATCCTGGCAATTAATCGGTACTCTGAGGTTGCTGCTCCTTCAGGCACTGTGTTGCAGGGCCACCTGTCTCTGGCTGCTGCCAATCACGCTTCTGCAGGGGGGGAGGGGATGCCATGCTGGAAAGCTTTTTGGTGGAGGGTTTTGCTCTCCTTCCTGATGAGACTGCAGCCCTCCAATCACTGGGCCCCCAGCTGGTCTCTTCCAAAGGGGCCGGATCAGGTGACCTCCAAAGCCAAGTTGCTTCCAAAAGACTCAAATCTCTTGAGGAGAAGTGCAGAATCCAGACTTCTCTGGCCGTCCAAGCAGCCCAAATTGGCCCAAAGAGAACGGCCGTTCGGGGTGCAGCAGATGTGGGCAGCTGCCGAGCAGGAGAGAGGCCTGGCCAGGAGCCGTGGAGCTGACACCCAAGCTGACACCCCCACACCCCCAATTGTCTTTTGGCATCTTTCTCATGCAGCATTTTGTGGCTGGCTGGGATTCATTGTTTGTCCTTGATCATAAGGAGGCCTTGGCTTGGGGTCCAGCAAAATGGGCTTCTGGCCACCCAGGGTCCATTGGATCGTTCCGCTTTTTTAATCGTTAAAAATTTAAGAAATTAATTAAGAAAGATGGTAATTAATTGATTTATTAAGAATAATACACTTTACGATCCTTTTATAAAACAGTTGTCTCTGTCATTTTCAAAGGCAAACTGAGGTGGGTGGTGGGGAGCCCCAGACGTAGACTTCTGCTGCAGTGTCTTCTGGGGAAGAACGCGCGTGCCTTAGTACGACAGCGCAATTAAACCTGCTCCCTCTTTGCATCTTTGTGACAGTTCGGGGATTCCCAGCAGCTGCGGCTGGTCCGTATCCTGCGTAGTACAGTCATGGTTCGTGTCGGTGGAGGATGGATGGCTCTGGACGAGTTTTTAGTGAAAAACGATCCTTGTCGAGGTAGGAGATGCATCTGCTTTTTAATGAAGGTTTTTTCAGGGAAACCTCAATCCTGGTGACTGCAGAGGAGCAGGAAGGGGAGCTGCTCTGGGGGTGAGCCTGAGGGGCCCCAGAAGATCAGCCCAGGGAGCTTTGCTCAGCGTCAGACCCGTGAGAAAAGGAGCCGCCGGCACTCTCAGCCACAAGCACCAAGGGGGCCACGGCCAGACAGGAAGCGCCTTTCTCTGGGTCAAAAGTCCCGGAGCCCTTTTGCCCGCCAGCTGTTTCCAGGCCGCCCTGCATGCTGCATGAAGGAGCCCTCCTCCCTCCCCTGCTGGCTCCCTCTTCCTCGGGCCCCTTGCTGCTCCCTCCGGTGGTCGCACCTGTTTCTTTTCTCTGTTCTAGTTCACCACCCTGGGAGTAAAATCAAACGCTCCGACTCCAGCTCTTCAATTGCCAGTCAGTCTCCGATAGGTTGGAGGTTTTTCTTCCCTTTCTCTGACTGCCCTGTTGGGAATGGCTTTGCTGCTCTAACCCGCCTCGGTCGGTGCCGAATGCTAGAGCCTGCACTGTGCTTGGCCAAGGAAGGGGGTGCAGAGCTCTTGCTGGCCAACTGGCTGGAGCTCTTCCCCCCCCCCATGGGGTCCACTCCTCCACCCCACCACGTCCTCCGGCTCAGCTTACCCTCATGGGTGGCCCCGAGTGAGGAGCGGGCTGTGTGACCCCGTGTGGATGCCATGTGCTTACTTGCACGTTTCCTTCTCTGCTTTTCTGCTCCTAGAAGTACTTGATTGAACGGACTGAACAAAACATAAAAAAATAAAACGGAATTCAAGGTTAGAAAAACAAATGGAAAGTAACAATAGCAATTAAAAAAAAGCTACATTTGCTGATTTTTTAAATGCAGGGGAAGCATTCTCAAGCAGGCCTTTCTTGCAGATTCTAACACTGGGCAGATTCCTCCCAGGAGAGTTCTCCCCTCAGGAACCCTCAGCCACTTGGATGGTGTAGTTGAGGACAGTCTGAAGGGTGTTCCAGAAGCCCTGAGCAACCAGGGCACATGGCTGACTTCAGCCTTTCTGTGATCTCTACGGCTGTGTTTTAACACCGGTCACAATTTCTGGATACTTGCCAAACTTTGGCCAGCCTCCCAGCAGCCCTGGTATATGAACTGCCAGGATTCTCCAGGCAGCAGAGCTAATATGAAAATTTTTGAAGTCCGCCTACTTGAATGACACCCAGGTTGAGGAAGTCTACTTCAGCCCAGTCCCTTTCTCTCAGGGACAGAAGAGAGATTCTTTTATTCTTTAGTATCACTTCCTCCTCATGTTGAAATCTCAGCCTGCGCCGGTTTGGGTGTCTGTAATTCAAGAGTACTTTATCAGAAGCCAACGAATTCCCTTTCCTTGGTCTTTGGAGTTGTGATGTTTCTGGCAGGTTCATGCTTGCCTTTCCTCCCAGTGTTTCTCCTGAACTTGGCTGGATGCTTCTGGTTGGAAAACCTCCACTGTTTTCTCTCACCTCGCACCCTCCAGGCATCTGGCTGAGAGTTCTGGGGTGTTGAAGGCAAACTTATGGGAAAACCCGAGGGAATGGATTAGATGGGAGGGCTCTGTGCTTCTAAGTCCTTTTGACTTTGTGATTGCCACACTCCTATTGCTGTGCTGTGGCCAGTTGTTGCTTAGCTCCCCATGATTCCAGGACAAGACTCAGCACTGATCCTACAAGGCTTTTGCGCAGTGTGGCTTACTTAACCCAAATACCAATGTGTGTGCTTCTGTTGGTTGAGTTTTGTATTTTCCAAAGACTAGATTCTGTCAACACGTTTGCTAATAAGACGGGGGGGGGGGTGGAGGGCGTTTCCAATTTCTTGATCCCACCAGTTAATTTTATTCCAGCCTTTGGAGAACAAGAAACACTTTTCAGGTGAGAGTATCGGCCAGTGATTGCCCCTGGCAAGATTCCTTTTTCTGGATTCACAACACATTTTACATAGCCGATGCAAGCCATCTAATTCCAGTTTCGATCCTCCTTTTTTGGCACTGGCCTTGTTGGGGGCAGTGGGCCTGCTTTACAGACGGCCCCAGGCCTGCCCCTCTCTCCCCAACGTCCACCCAGCCTCCACAGCTTTCTTGCCACTGGTCCACTGGCTTTCTGCAATTTTAACTGGCTTCTTTGCTGGACTGACAGTGCGAGAAGAACTTAGGAGAGGAGCCCCTCTTCCGCATGTGGGACAAAGGAGGGGCTATCAAAAGGGAAAGGAGTCCAATGCCTGCCCTCATCTCCACCCTTCCTAGCCCTGAGGCCGTCCCTGCAAACCTCTAGGGAGGCACACACTGGCCCAGAGGGCGGGAGAGGGAGTGGCAACGGAGTGGTTGGGGCTTTGCATGATGTCTGGCCTGCATCAAGCGGGGGGGGGGGCTTTTCCTGCCTCATTCAGTAATTTAGACGGCTAACGGGGTCTTTTTGTCCAGCTGGAACAAAGGAAGAAAAAGACTGCATGTCTCCAGCAAACTCCAAACTAGGCCATTAGTTGGTTCTTTCATTTAGCTATCTCCAGCTTTGCCATCCGTATTTTGTGTTCTTCTTTTCTTACAGCACGAGGCAGGACTAACCTTGAACTTAGAGAAAAATTCATTCTGCCAGAGGGCGCATCTCAGGGAATGGCACCATTCCGGTCCCGTGGCCGGAGGTCCAAGCCTTCCTCTCGGGCCGCCTCCCCCACACGGTCCAGTTCAAGTGCCAGCCAGAGCAATCACAGCTGCCCCTCAGTGCCATCCTCTCCTGCCACACCTGCCAGCGGGACCAAGGTGAGAAGTAGGCTCTTTTTTTTTCCTTGTAAAAATTTTTATTTTCAATTTTACAGTACATAACGATCTTACAAATACTTCAAATAAAAAACAAAACAAATTGATACACACCACCGCAGGCTCTTTCTTCACCTGGTTTCCATGGCAGTGGGGTCTTTTCCCTCAGCCTTGAAAAAACAAAGGGCTTCTGAAAGTCTGTGTTGAGTTGTGGTGCAGGTAGCTGGGGAAGGCTGCTTCGTCTCAAAGCCCCCCCCCCCTCCAAGCCAGGCCCAGGAGCACCACAGGTGGGTCCCGTGATCATCTCCTTAGGCAGAGGCTGCAGCCCGGAGGGGGGCTCACTCGGCTGGCCTCGGGAGCCTTTTCACAGCCAGATTGTCCTGTCCATGTCGGAAGAACCCTCAGTTCCATTTGCACGTCCCCTCTGATCTTGCAAGTTGTGCCTTTCCAATGGCTCCACATTCAAGAAGGTGGAGAGAAAAGAGGAAGGCTGAATTTCCCCTCTTCTTCACACTCCCCACAAACAGTTGCTAGTCTTCCCCACAATATGGAATATGTTTTTTTCTTGAGCTTTTTATCAAGACATTTTTATGCCACACAGTTCTGTGCCCTGTGTCAACCTAGTTTTGTGTTCATCAGCTGCTGCATCATCATCATCATCATATTATTATTATTATTATTATTATTATTATTATTATTATTATTATTATTTTAGGATTTATATCCATTTCTGTTTTATTTCCTTCTGATCTGGTCACTCCTCCCTCCCTCTCTCTCTCCCCCCCCGCCATTCATTTTGTTTGCCCCTCCCATCCTTCAAACTCTCTTTGGATTTTCCATTTCACAGACTCCGCATCACTTCACCCGTTGTTATGACAAACCCTGGTTGGTAAACAGCAAGGCAGGTACCCCCCTGAGGGGCTGCGATAATGCCGACCTCCACCTGTCTGCTTCTGAGGTAGAGTATGGCTCCGGTGGGCAAAAGGGAGTGCTTCCTTGAGTCAGCTTCCTCTCCTGCTTGCTGCCCCTCGGCCAGCCCTCCTGCGCTCCCCACGCCTCTCTCGGCAGAGGCTGGCTGTATTATTGTTTAGCCTATGGCATGTCATACATGGACTAGCAATCTAAATTAACATTTCAACTAGATTAGTAAAGCCCAATAAAATATAAATATTAAAAAGATCTGTGTTCAAATACTGACGACTAGACTATCACACCATTGAAGCGCAGTATCATTTATATTTTTTAAAAATCAGATACTGGACCAGTATATGCCCTCAGCTTACAGCCGGTCATGACGTACTGTACAGTTTGATGTGGGACCCCCCCCCAATCACACTGAGGGGAGGTTACTATGCCCCATTTATACAGAGAGTCCTGGCAGACGCTGTGTGAGGTGCAAATCCTACTCAGGTTTGTTCATTGCTTGACGTAGTTCAAACCTCGGCACGTGGGGTCACGGGGTCATTTATATGGCTTCCCATAGCTGGGTGTTCAGTGGCCCATTTGCCTTAGAGGCTGACTCTGCAAAACATCTGAAAGCCCAACAGGCACACTCACAACCCGAGTTAGAGGCTGTTCCTCTTTTTAAGATGTTCTTAATTAAGAACATCTTCCAAGAACCAAGAGGAGAAAGCTGCCTAAGCTTAATAAAAAGGATGTAATAAATACTGGGGTCTTTTTTAGAAATAAAGGTTGGAGAACAAAATAAATTCACACTTGAATAATAAGTGTCTTTTAATTTGTGTTTAATTATTACTTTCCTCTTAAGTGTTTTTTAGTTCAGGGTAGCCATTCTAGGTGGGCCATTCTTTGTTTTCATTTCCATAACAAGTTCTGCCTGTAAGTAGAGTGGAAAGGCCCGTCAGGAGGAGGAGCCTGTGAGTCGAACCATTTCTGCCACCTTGGCAGTTGAGTGCCGTGCAGGTCCGGAACATCCTCCCGGGGTTTTAGAAGGTGCTGGCAGAGGTTGTGGTGGCCCTCAAGGTCCTCAGAGAGAGAGGCCTGCCTGCCTTCATTTTTTTTCTGTCAGACATTTTAGAGAAAGGGGATAAACAAAGAGAAATAAAGTACAAGAACAAAAAGGTAACATGCCAATAGTAAAATGCAAAGAAGTAAACAAAGGATCTAGAATGCCACGGATATTACAATTTTCCAATGTATCATTAATTACCCCAAAATTATAGCATATATTATATGACTGTAAAGCACTAAGAATCACTATTAAGCTTTCTGCTAAAAATGCAGCCTAGGAACTGTGGCCAACACAAGTTATAATAAATAGAATCTGAAGTCATAATACTAGATGAGGCATGTGTTCAAGTTACAGGTCCAAGCACTGAATTTTACTTCAGATTTATTTTATGATAGGGAATTATTTTGGGCCCCAAAGCAGGCTCCCTTCCCTGGAAAGACATGATGGGCCTCACCTCGTGACCCACTTCTTCCCTGGGGGGACCCTAAGAGGGATGCACAAGCAGAGCGAACGTTCTTCCTTCTTCTAAACAGGCGTTTGGAAACTGACTAAGCCTCTCCAAAGCACCCTTCCCCAAGGCAAGGGCCAGCTCTGGCTCCTTTTTTTAATTATTTCAGCAAGGACAGCAGTTTGATTAACCGGCTGGCCCGCTTTCCTCCCTGGCCTCCGAAAAGCCGTGAGAGTGATGAGGCAGGGAGGCCAGCATTCACTTCGCGCATGGGACGTACTCATCTGCTTGGCTTGAATTCACCCAACGTGCTGGGCCAAGCCTCCCCAAGGCCACGTGTGAAGCCTGTCTCCTCTTTGCCTTTAAGACACAGAGGTCTGCAGCTGCTCCTGAAGCACAGGGGTTCTCTGAAGCTCTTTCTGTGGCTCCGTAACAAAACTTGATTGCCTCTATCCCAAGGTTGCTCTCTCCTCGGCCAGCAAGTTGAAACGGCCCACTTTCCACTCCAGCCGGACATCTCTTGCTGGGGATACCAGTAACAGTTCCTCACCAGCTTCTTCCGGTGCCAAAACCAGTCGAGGTGGTAAGTTCCAAGCTAGATTTGGAAACACCAGAGGCAAATGCTCTGGGTTGGGAAGCCCAGCATGGCCTCCCAAACCACCGGTAGACCACGGATGGTCTTCTGTAGGTGCCCAGGAGAAGCCAAGCAGAATTCTTTTTTCGTCTTATTTTTTTGGGGAGGGAGGGTCGAAGGCAGTGCTGTTAAATTCCTTCAAGATTCCCTCGCACTGTAAAAATGTGTTTTTGACTTTCAGATCCTAAGAAAACAGCCAGTCGCCCCAGCAGCCGTGCAGGCAGCCACGCAGGGAGCCGAGCCAGCAGCCGACGAGGCAGCGACGCTTCTGACTTTGATCTCCTGGAGACGCAGTCTGCCTGTTCAGACACTTCGGAGAGCAGCGCAACGGGAGGGCCCAGCGGCTCCCGGCGGGGCCTGGCCAAGCCCTCCAAAATCCCCACCATGTCCAAGAAAACGAGTGCGGCCAAATCTCCGGGCCCCAAGAGATAATACAGCATTCACGCCATGTCCAGCTTTGCACAGAGAACGGAAACCTGTGTGTCCAGTTTTTAACCCTGCTTCATACATTGGATGTATATTTATTCTACGTGGGAGAAATTATATTGTTAAAAGTGTAAAAGAAAATTGTGTTATGAAGCTGCCTTATTTGGTTCTCTCTTTTTTTATAGTTTACTTTTTCATGTGAATATTTATGTAGATAAAACTTGCCTTCTTTGCAATGGGGGCCCAGGGGAAAACTGAACATGGGAGAGAAGCAAAAGGTCAATATGTGAAAATGTAAAAACAAACAAATTATATAAATAGGATTTCTGTGCAGTGCAGGAGAAGTTCCTGCGTTATCATTTAGGATTGTTTCCTAAATGCATCTTTATAAAAATTAACTTGCTGTTTCAGCAAGAGAAATTATATTTAAAAGCAACATCTGAAGATCCAACATAAGAAAGGAACTTTCTTTTTCTTTCTCCTTGTAAATCACAGATACCTCAATAAGAGAGAAATGCACAGTGAGGGGGCTTGTTTCCAATTTTAAAAATAAATTCTTATGGTTTTACCTGAAGATAGTTTGAAAATGGACCTTTGCACATGTTTTTTTGAATAAAGAACTTCACTACAATACTGTATTTTGCAAAAGGAAAGTCCTGTCAGGCTTTCAAAGAACAACATATTGTGGGATTACAACAGCAGAACCATTGTAGAGGTAAAACCATGTGGTTTTAGCAGCGAGAGGATGGGAGGATCTTAAATTTGCTTCTGTTTAGCCACAAGATAACACAGTTCCAAAAGGCAGACTGTGAGTGAAAGAACTGACTTTACGCTTTAGTTCACAGACTGCAATGAAATGGCTTTCTTAGGCTGGCTCAGGCCTCTCCAGCCCGCAGGACCCTGCAGGGTCTCTGCTCTGGAGCAGCCAGTGGCCCTTGACGCCCACCACCACATGCTCCTGGGGAGGTGGAGGAGCATCACCAGCAGACTCTCTGGCTCTGGACGCCCCTGGTCTTCCTGTATTTATTCACTTGTACTCTTGTCCCTGCTCAGACTGACCACGTTGCTGTGTGATTCTCTCAGTTGGTTTAATTGAGCCAGAACCGGAAGCTCTACCAATGAATTGTTTAAAAACAAACACGTTTTGTATTAAAATTGCTTGCAGTAATAAAAGTGAAGCAAAGTGTCTCTTATTTTATGCCGCCCAGAAAGTTGGAAGAGGCGAGTGATCGGAGTCCTCCCGGGAGCCCCCTGTTCTAAGGATGCCTGAAGCACCCGCTGAAGTGGGATGATCGGGTCGCCCAGGCTGACGCCAAGACCAAGCCTTGACCCACTGCTCGAATTCATCTGCTTCTGCCTGATCAACATCTTCAAAGAGCTGAAGGCGACTTACCCATTTAATAAATGATTAAAGTATTTCTGCTCCCCTAGTCATAAGGTGGCTAGCCTGGGATCCCACCAATTACGGAGAAGGCTTGGCACCACCTCACAGTTTATTGTGCTCCTGTGGCCAATAGGGGCAGCATGTTGCCACGCAAGCCACTTTGGGGGATACCGAGGTAGATCCCCTCTCCCCAAAGTCCATGTGCAGCATCATCCTCAGTCAGCGTGGCCTGTGTGCGCTGCAGGTATCTGCAAGCACCAAGACGGAGAAGGCAATTTCAGGAAGGGCTGCAGGCTGGCGCCATAAGAACATTCCCAGACTTAAAGAAGCCTGACGGATGGCACGGAGAAGCCTGGAACTGAGGCTGATTCTGGGATGCCAGAGTGCCTGTGGGTTAACTCGTGTTGCTAGGAGATGGGGGTTTCAGAACCGGACGCCCTCCCCATGATTTTTCTTCCTTTCACACGGTACAGGTAGTCCTCAATGTCTGACCACAATTTAGCCCAAAATTTCTGTTGCTAAGTGAGACATTTGTTAAGTTAGTTTTGCCCCATTTCACAACCTGTCTTGCCGTGGTGGTGAAGTGAATCGCTGCACTTGTTAATAACGGAGGTTACGTGAATCTGGCTTCCCCATTGACTGCTTACCGGAAAGTCGCAAAAGGTGATCACATGACCCCAGAATACTGCAACCATCATAAATACGAGTCAGTTGCCAAATGTCTGGATTTTGACCACGTGACCATGGGGATGCTGTAACTGCCATAAGTGTGGAAAGCGGTCATAAGTCACTTTTTTCAGTGCTGTTGTAACTTCAAACACTAACTGTTGTAAGTTGAGGACTGCCTGTATATCCTGCACGGTGTTTTCAGCTAACAGTGGCCGCCAGGCCCCACACAACCATTTTTGTCCTACTGGGGACTCTTCAGATGCAGGGAGCCAGCTAGACACTTCCTGTCCTGCCTGGTTGAGGGTTTAAGAATTTGGAAAGCCCCAAATAGGACAGGAATTGCGACTGTGATGCTTCCTAGCTCTTCCTCTTTCTCCCTCCTGACTGCCACTTCTGCTTTTTGACTACAATAAAACAATCCACTACCTTCATGCATGCATCTGATTGCCCTCTACTTTCTTCCTGGACTCTTCCAAGGAGGGGGACACCTCCCCCCGTCCGAGCCCCTGGTTCTAGTCTCAGACTCCAGGATCTTTTTACTGATGTTCATTTGGGGCCACAGCCAATCCGTTACTCTGCAAATTAGTTTCCAAGTTCCTTTCAGGGATGTGAGAAGTGCCGCTGTACAGTTGCAGCCATCTTTTCTCATAGTTGCTAAAAATCCTTTTTGGCTGCTCTGCTCAGAACACCTCAGTCTCCAGGAGCTCTTCCAAAGATCAAGGGCAAGAACCCGGATGCCAAAACCTGCTTCAAAAGGCAGGCCAAAGGCTGCCCTGTCGGGCTAGCCAGTTGATTACTAGGCAATGTTTCCACCAGTTTCCCTTGAGCAGCTGCTCAGTTGCTCGGCTCGTGGCCATTCAAAAATGGTCTTTGTCACCCACATCCGCTACCTTTCCACTCAGTGGGCAACTGAGACAGTTTAACCAGGGACATTTTCCATTAGCCCACTCCTTTCGACATTGGGAATGAATACTGCTTGTTGCAGAAATGATTCCTGAGTTTTGAAGCAAAACTAACAGAATGAGTTATCTAAGTGTGTGGTCAGTGAGTTGTCTTCCAAACTTTCCTGCCTCTCCAACATTTAATTGAGCGCTTGGGGGAGCAGCCTCAGCCAGTCCAGGCACCTACCTTCCCACTAGCCTGGAAACTGCAGCCAGTTCCTCCTGTGCTGCTTTCTTTTTCAGTGCTCCAAGCGTAATATGCAAGCAAATTACAGATCAGCATAAATGTCAGCCTGGTTCATAGAACGTGCTCAGCCAACACTTAGATTCCCACAACAGTTGGATGCCCTTCCCTGGCTCCTCCTCCCCCTCCCCCTCCTCCTCGCCGAGGGCCACGTTCAACTCCAGGGCACTTCTAGGCAGGCAGGATCCATTCGGGTGGGCTTTCCCCCTTGGGGCTGATTTTGATTCTGTGCTGTCAAGTCGGGGTCAGTTCTTAGCAACCAGACAGATAGATTTTATCCAGATGGCTCCGTTCCCCAGCTTGGTCCTCCAACAGTGCACTCATTGCCACCACAACCTAGTCCAACTCTGCTGCTCTTTCCTTCCACTTTCCCAGCATTGGAGCCTTCTCCAGAGAGCATAACACGTCCAAAGTAGAAAAATTTGGAGCTGGTCACTTGTGCCTTCACCGAGAACTCTGGGTGATTTGTTTGATTTGGTCCATTTTCATTGGTCTGTTTTCTTGGCTGTCCACAGAAAGGAACAGAAATTTATTTCAATCATTGACCAATAATAATATATTCAGTAAAACAAAGGAAAATGATCCTCTCACATCAATGACTGTGGGCAGCCATTTATGGGCAAAGCTTGTACAAAACGTAGCAGAATTTTGCTACTTTTCAGAAAGATTTATCCTGGTTGCCTAATAAGTACCGCAAATACAAATAATGCTGCTCTGTCAAAGTCCATAGAGAGTCGGAGGGAAGCAAAAGCTTCCTTGGTGTAAAGAGTAAGATGGCCTCAGTGGAGAGCCTACTTCTGAGGCAAAAGGGGCTGAAGAATTTTTCAAACCCAGAAGAGAAAATGTGGAAGTGGCTCAGGGCAGCCGCCTCGCTGATTCATAGGAAGATAAGAAGGAAATTCAGCACAATCAGATTTGAAAAATTTGATTATTGCAGACAATCTCAATAAAAGTAGGTTTTAGCCTTCTGGGAAGTTGATCTTCTGGTCCGGGCAGCCCAAGGAGGATGGCACCGACCAGCCCTGCTCAGGTCCAGGACCTCCCGGGGGGGGGGTGAGGATTCGGACTCTTCCTCCTCGACCCTCTCGCTTAAACCTCTCCTTCGGAGGCGGACCGGCTGGTTGGATTCGGGAGACGCCGGAACGACTTCGACTACTGGGAAACTCGAAACGTGTCCAGTCACTCGGCGGATGGAGCCTCGAGGGACCGAGGGACGGAAGGCGGGATCGGAGGACGAGCCTCAACCGGCATCCCGACTCCGGCAGAGGGCGGCTCCGGGCCTGGGCTCCGGCAGGGAAGGGAGTCCCGGCTGCCTGTCGGGGACGGCAACTCCCGTCCTTCCCGGTCGCCGGGGCCGTCGGAGGCGTAGCGGGAGGCTCGGCCCACGTCTGCGGCCGGAGCTGGAGGACGAGGTTGGACGGCGGAGGCCGAGCGGGCAGGGGCCGCGACGTGGCAGTGATAACGGCCGGCTAGGTTGCCTCGCCGGCCCTGCCGTCTGCCTTTACTTGCCCTGCTCGCGGACGCCGCAGCTGGGGCGGGACGGGACGGGGCGGGCGGCCACCCAGCGCATCTGAGGAGCTGGATCGCGTCCCCCTCCCCCCACCGGCCTCCGCCTCCGCCCGCCGCTTAAAGGGCCGGCCCGACGGCCGCGGCGCTCGGACCCACCTGCGCTGCGCGGGCGCCATGCGCCTCTCGTCGGGCCCGGCGGCGGCGGCGGCGGCGCTACTCCTGATGGCCGCGTTGCTGCCGGCGGCGGCCCAGCCCCGCCAGGCCCTCGCCCGCCGCCCGCCGGCCCCGCCGCCCGCCGGCCCGCGACGGCTGAGCGGGCGCCTGCTGCAGCGCGAGGTGCTGGCGCTCCTGGGCCTGCCCGGCGGACCCCGCCGCCGCCCGCCCCGCCCCGCCGCCCCGCCGCTCTTCATGCTGGGCCTGTACCGCGCCCTGGCCCGGCAGGACGACGCCCGGGCCGGCCCCGCGCTCAGCGGCGCCGCCGACGGCGCGGACACGGTCGTGAGCTTCGTCAACCTGGGTAAGTCCCGTCGGGCGAGGCGGGCGCGCGCGGCCCCCGGGCCCGGGACGGCCGGCCGGCTCCCCTCGGGGCGCTTTGGACGGGAGCGCGAATGCCGGAGCTTCGCCCTGAGCGGCGAAGGGCCGGGAGAGCCCTTTGGGGGGCGCGGGCCCGGGAGGGATCCCCAAGGCCGGGCAGGTGCGGCCTCCGGGCCGTTGCGGGGTCCCGGCCGGGTCGCTCCCGGGAGCTCCGGGCTCAGCCCTGCCCAGGCGACGCGCGAGGGCTCGGGGTCCGGGGCGTTGGGGGAGGGCGGGCGGACGAGGCAAGGGCGTTTTCTTACCGGGATTTAAGCGCCGTGTGAGCCCAGCTGAAAAGCGTGGCTGATTCTCCCGTTGGGGACGGAAAGAAGCCCAGAGGGTCGGGGGGGAGCAGCCCCCCATCTCAAGGGGGCCCCGCTGCTGGCGGCCGGGAGGGCGTCCGCGGCCGGTTCGCCGAGGGGGCGGCCCTTCCGCCTGCGGCTGCGAGCGCCCCCGAGAGGGTCGGTCCTTGAAGGGCTCCGGGTGGGCTTACTTGGAGCAGCTGCCCGACTGACCGCGGCGGCTATTAGCCGAAAGAGATCCCGCAGAGACTCGGCCCGCCGGCCGCTCCCTCCCCTTCTCCGTTCCCGCGCCGCTCGGCCGAAGCGCGGCCCCCTCCCGGCTCCTCAGCCGGGCCTGCCGCCCCCGAAGCCGGGAGGAGGAGAGCTCCCTCTGCCCCGCCGGGAGTCCCCGGTCGGCGAGAGCTGGCACGAGGGGGCCGTAAGGGGCTAGACTGGCAGGTGGTTCCCCCCCCCCCATCCTCAGCAGGTGTAAGCAGCCACCTTGGGCGACTCTGGCCAACCGTGGAGACTGCAGGCACAGAAGGGGCGGAATCTGGTCGGGCCTGTTCCTG